GAATTAGCCCTGCAAGTTTGGTTTGAGTGAGGTAGCTCTTAAACTAATAGTTATTGTAGCTCTAAACACTTTAAGCAGGTCAATCAGCTATAGAGAATGTAGGTCAAATCGAGCACCCGCAGAAGTGTAGCAGTATCTCTTGATGCATTATCCATGCAAATTTAGTTCAGGTAGGCCTTATAATTTTTTAGTATTATAAATGGACCTGCTCCAAAAACTATTGGCTGCTCAGCTGCAAATTTAGGTCAGATCCAGCATCTGAAGCAAGTCATGTAATGTGCATCCATTCATGCATTGCCTTTGCAAGATTTATCACTATGTTGTTTATAGTAACTCTAGAATGACACCTTTTCATGACCTGTTTTGTTCATACTCATGACAAAAGTTGTTTAATCTTTTCTGATAGTAAGATATATGAAAAAAAATAATTTTGCTAAATTTAGATTGTGTTAAAGGTTGCATGTGTTTACAAATTGTGTCAGGGTTGTATCTATTTACATGTAAAATTGACTTCATGTTTCATAATATCAACATAAATATGCTCCAACACTTTACTGCATAACAAAATACTTGTTACACCATGTGACACGGCATTTACATTACCAGATTGGTGCAGACAGACATGCATTTTACCTGCTCTTGGGCCCATTTAGTGAAATATAAAAGCCTTATTTTTTCAGTGCACCTAGCGTGGGGCAGTGTAGAGGGTACACATTTCCTATCGGACCATTTTAGTGAGTCACTCATGAGTTTTTTAATCCAAGTGCAGGTAAACTAGCTGCATTACAAAGAGCCTCCAAGATTTCGATGAAAATCAAACTTCAGATTAGTTGCCGAGTGTTTAAACACTGGGGGGACCTTAGGGAATAAATCTGAATTTGAAAGGCTTGAGGACACGATTTTATCAATACCCCCCAGTCAAATTTAAAATATGAGTCATCAATTTCATTTTTGAGTTTATAACTAAAGTCTTTTGAAAAATTCAAAGAACAGTATTTCCTGAAACTTAGTTCTTGATTTTTTAAAATATTTTTTTGAAATTCATGAAAAAAGAGAGCATACACTGGCATGCATGCATCTTTGGTGATAGTCAAAGGTACTGGTCTTTGAATTTGTATCATACACCAATTATACCCATCAGATAAACCACTGAATGCCCAATTGATCCCAACTGCAACAAGTAGAAGTTCTCTGTATTATGTGTCAAATTAAAATTCTACATTTAAGAGTTTTTCTTATCTTGTCTTGACCTCAAATTCTTTTGGAACAAGTTTAGCATTTTCAAAGACATTTTTGCATGTGCTAAACAAAAGACAATTCAAGCTGTAGAAATTGCTTTAGAAATATTGCAGTAATGCTTGTTATGTCATAATGAGCATTCAAACCAGCAGCATTGAGTTGTTAATCTCTTTGCTTGCTCACCTTGTTATTTAGCAAACAAATTCCACATTTGCAAAACAATGAACTTAAATGCTAACACAACACAAAAAACAGAAGGAACATGCAATTTTGGCAACCTTAATGGCAAGCCAATTCCCTCATCATGCCACATGCTGGGCAACTATTAGAGATATGAAATGTAAATCAAAACTTCAGAATAAGACCTGTGGTGATTGTACAAGAATAACTCATTGTATCTAATGACAAATAAAACAGCCCTAATATAACAAAATGAACTGAGTAGAATTATTACTAATCGGAGACATGTACTAATTTTACACACATAATTGTATCTTTCCAAAATAAAATGACCTCAATGCGATTTTGGTTATAGCTTTTCTGCTAATTATAGCTGTGTTGACATTATAGAAGGCTTAACAAACACATGTACTAGAACAAAGCTCACTGCTAGTCATTCAGGTCTTCATTTGTTTCAAAGTTACAGAGCTGCCTTGCTTTAGTTTGACTGTATGACCTACAACAATGACCTCTGAAACAAAACTGAAAAACTGTACAGTGGACAAAATCCATCCCATCATACATGTAAATCCAAAGTAAAGTTAAACACATAGATGCTTATTACATTATTTGAACACCACTTATGATTATATATACAAAAGATATTTTTAATGTAATATGGCCTTGACCCCCCCTGAACAATAATGACTTGGATAGTAAACCATAAGCAGCTGGGATTGTTTACAACAGCAATATATAGAATAATGATCGTTGATAAAGTCTCTTTATGTTCTTAGTGTAGTCTACTTGTGTGCCAAGTTATATTGAAATCAGACCAAAACTGTAGGAGGAGTAGCATTTTGAAACAATTTTACAGACATTTCAATTTTTAGTAACCACGGCAACACAGTTCATCAAAATTAAAATTTGATACACAAAATTATGCATCTTAGTGTATTCTACTTGTGTGCCAAGTTATATTGAAATCAGACCAAAACTGTAAAAGCATTTTGAAACAATTTTACAGATATTTCTATTTTTAGTAACCACGGCAACACCGTTCATCTAAATCAAAAACCGATACACAGATTTATGTATCTTAGTGTATTCTACTTGTGTGCCAAATTATACTGATATCAGACCAAAACTGTAGGAGGAGTAGCATTTTGAAAGAATTTCACAGAAATTTCTATTTTTAGTAACCACGGCAACACCGCTCATCGAAATCAAAAACCGATACACAGAATTATGTATCTTAGTGTAGTCTACTTGTGTGCCAAGTTATACTGAAATCAGACCAAAACTGTAAGAGGAGTAGCATTTTGAAAGAATTTCACAGAAATTATATAATACACAGAATTATGTATCTTAGTATTTACTTGTGTGCCAAGTTATACTGAAATCAGACCAAAACTGTAGGAGGAGTAGCATTTTGAAAGAATTTCACAGAAATTTCTATTTTTAGTAACCATGGCAACACCGTTCATCAAAATCAAAAACCGATACACAGAATTATGTATCTTAGTGCAGTCTACTTGTGTGCCAAGTTATATTGAAATTAGACCAAAACTGTAGGAGGAGTAGCATTTTGAAAAATTGTTTACAGACAGACGGACAGACGGACAGACAGACAGACGGACGGACGGACGGACGGACGCCGGACGCATTACTATCGCATAAGCTCTTCTGGTCTCTGACCAGTAGAGCTAAAAATCAGTTTATACATAACCATTATAATAGGCCAAAAGTAAATAATTTGGAAAACATCTCATCCATTTCTATGCTTCATGAAGCATTAAAAATTCTTTCAAAAAAATTCTCAGGTCCAAATTATAATCATTTTGCAATATGCAAAATATTGGAAGATATTGCACTTAACTGGAAAATAAATCATTTAATTCCTGTTTAATCATATCTAAATGTCACACTGCAAAAGGGATTTTTCCATTAAATTGTCCAAAAATGGTTAATAGCAGAGATAATTATGCAACATTGCAGACCCTTCTAAACAACCTCTCCTGAAGCTATCTTCTATATTATGCAGTCATGTTCAATTCAGTTTACCAATACCATGAGTCACCAATGTCTTCAGAGAGAAAGAAAAAGAAAAGCAAACCAGTAATTAACTATTTTTGATTATATCATATGACTCAACACAAAAACCATTCCATAAATCTAGCACCAATACTGCATTGCACCATCTGACTTGCATGTAAATTAATTGCATGCCAATGCATGCACAAAGCTATAAAATCTAGTCACAAAAGAGCTTCATCTTGTCTATGGAAAGAGACTTAACTTAAGAATTCAAATATTCAATTTCAAATTGAACTGAGTTCAATAAACCAGGTGCTTCCTCTATTGACCCACACACCTGTGTCCAGGTAGAAACTTGTGCAAGAAAAAAAAAAGATTTGTCAAACTAGCTTAGAGGCAGGTAGCTACACATTCTTGACCATATATTCGGATCCAAGGACCCACTGCAAAGAAAAACTTCTTAATATTTATAAGATATGCAAATCGACTCACCTTTATTACTTTTAAATCTTCATCAAAGTTTGTATTTTTAGTTTGCCGATAGCATTGGAAGGTTGCAAATCAAGATTAGCCGCAGGAGGATCCAGAGGGAAAACTAGATTAACAAAAGTAAACACTGTAGTAAAACTGTATAGTAAACATTTGGAGGGAAACACCAAGCCATGCAAAGCGTCGCATATCCCACAATGCATTTACCTTGACACGCAGAATTAAGATTTCTATTCCACTTAAGCCTTTTACAGAAGTGGCACCGGACTACTTAAGCATGTAGCCCGAGCTTTAACCTGGGCATCAGATTTTTAAATCGTCTTTTAAAATTTACAATAGAGACAAGGACACTCGCATAAAGCAGCCTAGAATGACAGATTATTTAAAACACAGCGGTCATTCCAAAACTGACTGGACAGGTACAAAGCAGCCCTTCATCGTACAACTAAACAAAAATTAATCTTTCTATTTTGGGAAGGATTGATAGGGTTATTTATGAAAATAAATCTCTCTCTTGAAAGAATACTGAAATAGGAAGTACCTTCACAGAAAATAATTAAATCTTGATAAAATTTGTTGAAATATGTTTTAAAACTAAGAAATTTTATATCAGGTTTCATACTTAAAATATTGCTTTGTAACGATTACACATCAGTTACTTCAACCAAAACTGAAAGCTCATGGGGATTAAAAAACATAGCATACATGTCATTCACACTTCTTTTCTCCTATTCATCACACAAATTGATAATGGGGTTTCTTTCTATTCAATACACATCCTAAGAATGGCCTATTACTGATTCAATATTACATGTCAAGCTCCAATCCAGTCTTGGTCAAAAACCAGGACTGCATATCTCCCTTAGATTACATCAAAATAAAATTCAAGAAAAGATTTCCATGCATGTATATAAAAAAAAAAGAAAAGAAAAGTGGAAAAGAAAACCATAGCATCTGAAGTTTAGCAAAACAAACAATAAAAATCTTTACAGAGGGGGGTAAAACATTATGATTTACTTTAATAATTTGTAGAGTTACCTGGTTTTCTATGATCAACAAGTGTCAAGGCTGAAGGTATTTAATGAGGCAGAAAAAAGGAAAGAAAACTACAATAGTGTCAGCAAGCCACAGAAAAAGAGATTTCTCCATGGCAAGCAGTCTGAAAAGAAACCACTTGATTTAGACCTGGCACAACAGACAGTAGACACTAATATATTAAACCCATTCATTTGTCTGATGTCCAAAGAGTGTAATGACCAATGGCCATAAAAGGTCAACCTTCAAACAAAATATTCATTGGAATATTGAGACTAATTTTTTTCACCTTGTGCACTGAAAACTTTGTATAGAAACTACGGGGTAGCAGATGGTGAGTCCAATCCAGATCGGATTGCACATCCAGTTAGCCCATACAACAGATGGACTGGGCTGCCATTTTGGTTCAAAGGGCACCATTCCCTCATATGTCATTGGTCTGACCTCCACTCCAACTCTTCTCTCTAATGAGTTAGTGAAACTGAAATGACAAATGACAGAAGAGGTAAACTCTATGTCTCTCGTTCAAGCATGAAATAAGAAACAAATTAATGCAAATATTAACGTTTTTCCATTTCATTTAAAGTAAATATAAACATGTGTACTTCGACAACAGCAATTTCAATTGATATGATCAGTGAAATTTACAATATTATCGTAAAAAACTGCTACAATCATTAAGAGAAAGTGTATTAACAAAATGCTATATATGGCAAACAATAATAAAATACTATCATTATTGCAATAAATGATGGCATACATTGTTATAATGGCAGCCTTTTGCCCTGGTCTCCTTTGTTGTATGAAAATTTTAGTTTGACAACATCTAATTTTTCTTATACTGCATGACTAAAAGAAACAAAATATCACTTAAACTATCAGGGACAGCGGCATCAGACTTCTGTAAACAAATGTAACGTATCACACTACACATTCTGTTATAGGAAGCAGGGGTATACCTCTCATGTCAACTGGATGATAAATTTACCCCCAAACAGAAAGCGATACCTGCCTGACATACATCTTATTCCAGTAACCTGACCATAATAGGAGGAATATCAGTACATGTAAACCCGCATATACATCATGTCCGACAATTTCATTATATGCTCATATGTACCAAAATGGCATTACTTTTCTGTTAATTATCTCTGATATGATTAAGACTAGCCTAATTTCATCATAAATGTATATTAGTATGTGCTTTTGGCAGAATATGGGCATATTGCAAGGCTGTTAATTTAATTACAACTTTATGCGATATATTGATATACTACAGTTTGTAGAAGTATTGTAGAACTCACTATGTAGTGAATAATTTTAAAGCTCTATTTGCAGAACTACTCAATTTCTTTCCAGCCATACAAATTTTTATTGAAATATATCAATACATCAGGTGTTCATTTTTAATTGATGGAATAATGTTATGTAGGTCATCAATACAAACAAACCCCTGGGGCCCCCAACTGTATGTACGTAGTAAATATCAAACACAAATAAGAGCACCTGCGAAGGTGTCAGGCGAGGGAAGATAGCTGGCGTCCACACAGACTTGGTCGGACTAGGAGACACATTGAGGTCACGGCACTCGTTAAAATGTCCACTTGTTCGCTGGAGATTTTTGCAAAGTGCTATGCCAAGTTGGTGGTTGTGCTCAAGTGGTACCAAATCAAGTCTTCTTAAATCGCACTTCAGAAAACACTACAGAAATATAATGGAACAGATATATGAAACCAGTAGAAGATTCAATGCTTAATTTCTTGATTTCACTTTATAAATCTTGTCGATTCCTATAAGTATGAAAAAATAAAACAAAGCTTTAAAGAAAAAAGTATAAAGATGAATTGAGATCTCTTTTGGCTCAAACTTAAAATGATCTGAAGAAAAAAAGATTTTAAATTTTTGTGAAGAATTTCTCATTTTCAAGACCCTGCTAGCTCCTGAATTCTTGAGAATTAGTTGTGGAAATATGGTTCCTTAGAAAAAGACCTGCTCCAAAAACCTTTAACCTGGTGACTTATCCAGAAAATGTAGGTCAGATCTAGCATCCAAAGCAAGTCCAATAGAATGCATCCTTTGATGTATCATCCATGTAATTTTGGGCAAAATAGGGCTTATAGTTACTTGGAAATGAGATCTGCTCCAAAACCTTTAACTTGGTCACTATTACAAAAATATAGGTCAGATCCAGGATTCTTTCGGAAGCTTCGGAATAAGTTTCAGCTTTCCTCAAGAAGATTTTAATAAATTTTTCCAATAAATTTCTATGCAAAAGCTTTAATTATATTCCCTATTGTGACCCCACCCTACCCTCAGTGGGCAATGATTTGAATAATTTAGAATCTACACTACCTCAGGAAGCTTCAACATAAGTTTCAGCTTTTCTGGTTCAGTGGTTCTTAAGAAGAAAATTTTTTAAACACCCAATTTTATGTTAACGCCCCCAAAATCTACCTGATTCAAGATCAATAATTTACCGCCTGTCAATCATTTAAAAAACAATAGCTTCTGATTTGATTGACATGCCAGCTACCCGTGCTACCTGATAGTCTGAGTTTGAGTCCTCTGAAAACGATTGCCTGGTCACGCGTCAAACACTTTCATGTAGCCGCCTTGTATACACAGGGGGTTAAAAAAGAATCTTGGTAAAATTTTATTTTAAAAAACAATTGAGAGTAGATAAATAAAACATGACTTCATAAATAGGCGATATATCGTCCAAGGAATCTGCTATTTGCCGATTAAAATTGGAATATGATAAATAGGAAAAGATATTTAGCACAAACGGCACGGATAAAAAAATCCTTTATCCGATGTTTTATCTACTTATATATGAATACAATCTATACCATGTTCTGTTGTAAAGTTCTGAAATGTCAGAAACAGCTGTCAAGTTTAGAGATTATAACTTTTAGTTCGAATTTCCTAACATCTGTCAATACCCAATATTCGAAATTAAAATTGAATATATACAGCCAAAGATCAATTCTTAAAAGTATTAAAAAAAATCTTGCAAAAAATAATCGAACACCCGGAAATGGTGAATATTTTTGACACTATTGTTGATCTGAACATAGGCAATATTCCTATCGCGGTACGGTACATTGTATATGTTCACACGGATAGGCCTACCTATGAATGGAATAATATTATATATTTTTTTAAGTGATATTTACACAAGTTTAATTAAAAAAAGATAATTATGTTTTCTTTGTAGTTTTACTCTGTGTTCTTTTCTTTAATCTGTCATTTTTTTTCAATATAAAAACGATATTTCTTTATAATTTTTTTCTTCTCGAATCATTAGATATCGCTGAAAGTGTTTATAAATAAATTAAATATTGAAATATTTCAATTAATTCAAGTAGTTTCACTCAAATTTATACACGGAACACGGAATGTTGACCCTGATCACCAAACACAGACTTCCTGTGTAATGCTACGTATACACAGATTTTTGACATCTTGGGTATTGGGGGTCTCCAGGTAAATAACACCACTATTACTTGGACCACTCCCCCTCCTCAGGTAACCGTACGGTAAAAAAATTGGGTCTTTAATAACCCAACACTACTTATTGCCTTTTCTTGATAATCTCCCCTTGGAAGAGGGCTTTGCCCTTCATTTGAATAATTCAGAATCTCTATCACCCAAGGACCTATCACCTATGTACCAACCTTGGTTAAAACTGGCCAAGTTGTTCTTGAGAAATAGTTGAAATGTGATAAGTTGACAGATGGACAGAAAACTAGATATAGATGGCTTGATGCCGGGCATCGAGTGATCAGAAAAGCTCACTTGAGCTTTCAACTCAGGTGAGCTAAAACCTAATTGACCCCCTCCCCCCTTCCCTTCAAATCGATTCTACCCTTTCATTTTTGGATGTATTCTTATAGAGAACATGCAAAATGAGTTTTTAAATACAATTGTTGTTGTATGGGTCATTCTCATGCAAATTTCAACCCAGTAAAATGGACTCCACGATTGAAAGTTCCTGTCAAGAAACCCTAATCATTTTTCATAGTTCATGGTTCTACATGAGGGCCATGACACACAAGAAAGAGAAGGGCTAATGAACTGGAAATCTACACCAGACTTTAATATGACAGGTTGTAGGGCACTGTAATTTATGCTCAAATAATTGAAATAAATTTAAAGATAATTTATTTTGGATTAGAAGAGTAAAAGGTTTCAAAATCTCTAATGAAGCAATTCAAATTCAAAATCATATAAATTTTACTAATTTAATCTCTGCTTTTCCAGGGCAATTAAGCCAGAATCTATACTCAGGTACAACCTGAAATCTTGATACAAGTAATTTATCTTTTTGATCAGGGTGTACATATTACTAGCTATCAAAACAACATATCTGGTTACTGTCTGTCTGTTCTCATCTGAGCATGCATCAAGGGCCACGCACGCACTCATTACCCCAGCATTGAGCTCTGGTGCATAAAAAACTGACCCTACAATCAGAATATAAAACCCCTCCTCTGGCTTTCGAAATATATATATGTCTTCTCTGTACTTGTCAGCAAGTGGGCAATTAAAACCTGGCAGCAGTGATGTAATACGTAATAGTTTGATTAAATGGCTATACCTACGTTATTAGGTTTTTGTTAAGACTTTCTCCGACTGAGAAGAAAAACATGCAAATGTGTGACTATATGTCATTAATACTAAAGATCTAGTGCCCTAAATACAGCTTCATAAATAAATTTAAAATCCAGGTCACCTTTATCTCTCCGTTTTCTTTATTTATATTGTATTTTAATAACTCAAATTGTCCTACAGGTAAACACAGGTAATACAAAGTCTGCTGCATCTTTTGTGTCAGTGCACATTGTATCATATAACACAAAAACCACATTTATCAACAATGCATAAAACGCACATCAAAGTACAGTTTTAATTAATTTCCATCAATCTAATTATTTCAAATAGTAGATGAAAAAGAAATTCCTATGGTTGACACCTTGTTATTCTACCATTTAACATTACACCTCTTAACAACCTACAATGAAGCAAGCTTGTTCAAATGTCCTAGGTCACAAAAACATGCTTAAACTAATGAACAATTAGAAAATATGCAACAAAAGATGTTCCCTCCCTAAGGCATGCAGAGCCTATAGACATCTCTTCAGAGATATGTACTTATCAGAGCTAGATAATCACCCTTGTAATTTAGTTATAAAGTGATAAAAACTGAGCCTGCTGTCTATAAATCACATGTGTATGCCCTATGGGTTTCTTAGCTCCTATCTTGGAATTTTCAGGGGAGATAAACTGTATATGAAGCATAACTATACACATCTCTGGATCATTAGGGCTCTTTTCAGAAAAAAATGTAAGAAGATAGAATAGTTATCATGAATTCAATCTCATTTAGCTTCTGGACAAATAACATTTACACTGATTTTTTTCTCTCAAATATGTATTAAGAATAAAATGTGCATGTACTTGATAGCATACAAAATTTAATAATTTTTTTTGACTTATCTAAAGTTTCCTCACATACAAATACTTTATCTAATTTGACATTCATGCAGTAATAAATGTCAATCGAATTTAACATTAAGTGACCTTGAACTCCTTACCTTTTAAAAACAAAAGGACAAAATTTGGTAGCATTTTCTCTTCATCTCACAACTTTACAGTTAATGTTTCATTTACATATTTATCTGATTTGTTACCTTCATACAGTGTATAAATTCTTTTAAACTTGGTGAATTTTAGCTTTAAAAACAGATTTTATGGGATGATAGGTGACAATGCTTCTATAGAGATTAACCCCCTTTCTCTCTCTTACACAGTTCCATAATACATAAACTATGATGAAGTTAGGAATATTCTTAACCCTCTTCATTTAGTGTTTGATATCAAAAAGAGAAATAAATTATCCCTATCATACCAATGTCTATTGCAAAAAAGCTTAAAATTATTGGTTGAAGATAGTAATAGCCACTATTACAGAACCTGATTTTCACAACTGAGAAAATCATGTTATCATCAGTTTAAACCAGAAGTCTCTGTCGAGACTGAAGCTCTACTGGTTTGTACTTATAGCAAAGGAAGAGGAAAGTACTTAAGCAGTTGGGAATTGAAAATTTACACAGGCAAAAAAGAGAATAATGATCCTTGAATAAGTCTCTTTATGTTCTTAGTGTAGTCTACTTGCAAGCCACATTATATTATAATCAGACTAAAACTGTATTTGAAGTAGCAAATTTGAGAGTAACAGAAATTGCTATCTTTATTAACCAAGGTAATAATGTTCACTGAAGTCAAAAACGGATATAAAGAATTATGTATCTTAGTGTAGTCTACTTGAGTGCCAAGTTATATTGAAATCAGACTAAATTTGTAGGAGGAGTAGCATTTTGAAAGAATTTCACAGAAATTTCTATTTTTAGTAACAACGCCAACACCGTTCGTTGAAATCAAAAACCGATATACAGAATTATGTATCTTAGTGTAGTTTACTCGTGTGCCAAGTTATATTGAAGTCAGACCAAAACTGTAGGAGGAGTAGCATTTTGAAAGAATTTCACAGAAATTTCTATTTTTAGTAACAACGCCAACATCGTTCGTCGAAATCAAAAACCGATATATAGAATTATGTATCTTAGTGTAGTCTACTTGTTTGCCAAGTTATATTGAAATCATACCAAAACTGTAGGAGGAGTAGCATTTTGAAAAATTGTTTACAGACAGACAGACGGACAGACGGACGGACGCCGAACGCATTACTATCGCATAAGCTCTTCTGGTCTCTGACCAGTAGAGCTAAAAATGAAAAGAAAAGTTTATTCTTTTTTTTTTTTTAGGGGGGGGGGGAGGGGTAAATAGGAAAGCTTTTACATGTTTTGAAAATACGTATATGTAAATCAAAAGACACTCAATTGCCAGAAGTGTATACTGTCCTGCCTCTACATTCTAGAATTAAGTCTGTTTACACAATAAAAAAAAAGTTGCATTAAAATTCCTGCAGCAAAGTCCTATAAATTGTCAATGAAATACCAACTGAAGTCATCAATTGAAAACTGAACAAATTACACACCACTAAAAAGTGATAAAAAAGTTGTAAAACCAGCTGCTCTTAAATATCTGCTGTGCAGAAAACTAATCAACAATGGGGGTTATTAGATTTGCTTTAGAATAATGGATTCATAATCATGGAATGAACAATAAGTTAACACACTGGGGAAGTCTGGTCCTATTTCCTTGGTCTGAATGGCCTAATGATATGGTCTCTGACCAGAAAAGCTAAGAACGAGAAGTCTCTGCTTTTGGTGAAGGTTTATACGGTTTCTCAAATGAAAGATAAACCCAATGGTCAAGAAATCAAAATTGTTGTTACCTAAAGGAAGGAATTATCTCTATAGATATACCTGTGAAATATAAAAGCTCAAGAGACAAGCTTTCAAATGTAAAGGTCAATGTTAAAATTTTCTAAAAGTGGGTGAAACTCCAAGGTCAAAGACAAATGGTCAAAGTTCAAAATACCATGGAAGAAGGTCTTGTCATAAGAAATACACAAGTGAAATATAAAAGTCATAGGACTGTTTAAAAGTTTGGGCCAAATTTAGTTTGTTTAAAAGTTAGTTCTTAAACTACAAGGTCAATGTCAAACAGTTAAAATTGTTGGTATTGAAAAGAAATCCCCCTATGAAATTTTAAAGCCCAAGTACTTTCTCCTATGCATTACTATGGAAAACTTTGTCTGCCCATAGTAACTTCATGTTCTCCATAATATATATTTCAAAATTATCTCTTCTTAAAAGATTTAAACAAAATTGAAGCCCCTTTAATATCCAAGAAAACCCAGCACTAAAGAACTATATGCGGTATTAACCAACATTTGCCCCCCAAAATCAAACTTTGATGGAGTAATATTTAATTAAGTCCTTAAACAGGGGAGTATATGCTGACTTCAAAGCACTGAATAATTTCATAAGTAATGACGTCATATGTACGTAATGACGTCACAAATATGACGTAAATTTCAGTTTTTTATGAATTTTGCAGAAAAATGTACATATTTCGTCGATATTTTAAATAAAAGTCACCGAGCGCATGTGTGTTCAGGATAAATATTTTGATATAATGTGTAGAATGATAATATCAATGAAATATGTCAATATTGTTCCTGAACACACATGCACTCTATAAATTTTAAAGCTTAAATTGTTGAAATTTTGTCCATTTTGTCCTCTTTCTGAAAAAGGATATAAAATCGGACTAGTTTGTGACGTCATAAAAACAGAAATTGTGAATACACTGCTCTGGAACTATAATATTTTCTGTTAACTTATATTTCTCGTACAATTTATTGAATTCAGCACATTTCAGGAAGTTTTCAAAATTTGACTTTTGTGGGGGCAAACATATGCAATATACCGCATATAGTTCTTTGTTTGAAATTGATCAAGTGTTTCTGGATAAGAAGAAGAAAAATAAAGGTTTTTAACAACAAAAACAAAACCACAAAGTAGACATTGCAGAAATTTTGACAGAAAAGCTCACTAGAACCTTTTGCTCATGTGAGCTATAAAAAAAGAGTTAAATTTATGTGAAAATTTGCCCCAACTTTATAATTTCACTTGTAAATGACATATAATTATGTATAACAGTAATATCCTAATTCAGTTAAATATACAATAAAAACACTGATGGTTATCAAATAATTAACAAGAACGGTGCATTAACCTTGCTTAATTTAGGGGGGAGGGACTGAATAGAGGGCTATGAACCTTGGTTATTCAATTTAACTTGTGACAATAAGTTTACTATTATTTTCACCAAATTGCCTGTATTTGAGAAAGTCTACTGAATAATGACTAGACATTTTTGACAGGTAAATCCATGTGTTCAGTGAGGACTAACAATGAGTCTTCTAAAGACACTCCTAAACAAATGGGATCATCTGTCACAAAGACCGGGGCATGACAGGGCAGTCACACCAGAGGAAACGGAATCTTGGTCCCAGCACAGCCATCAGCTGAGGACATCAACATTTGTCCAAAATCCTGGTAGGATGTAAAGCAGTCATATGTCACCCTCAGCAGTAACTGAATCCTACAATTCTTATTGGCTGATGAAGATTTATTGATGATTTGATTGGATAATCCCTGTCAGATAAAAAGGAGCCTGTTCATTTTGCCAGTTCATTGGTACAGATGTTGAATGGTCTCGTTTGTTGTCAATGGAACATTGTGGAGTGTGGACCCATTTCTAAATCTACTGATCAGTGTGCTACAAATCAATCTATAGCTTCCAAAATTCATCAATGGTCTCTGAACTGGGACAGTCACTTACACACTCACCTTATATATGAATATTTTAAAATAAATGGTTCTCACAAAGTGTGCGTCTCTGTGTGAAAGCCAATTTGTTAAAACTGTGTCAAAATCAGCCATGTCATTTATCTTCATAATAAAATATACAACACTGTTTGTGACAGAATTGCGCCTGGTACTATAATATCACAAACTAATAGGTCAGTGTTAACTACCTCTTACAGAATTGTTATAGGAGACTTCCCTTGATGTAGTGCCAGGGTATCAAAACAATAGATCTGTAGAGTTTCTGACAGAGGGGTCACCGACTCTAGAGTACCAGGATCTACCTATCTTTGTCTCCATCATTGCATTAATTCTCAATAAAATCAAACCCTTTTAACAACGTGGTATAACAGAAAACAAACCCATGAAAATTCATGTTTTTTCACATTTATATAAAAATACATGTATGGCAGAAATTATCATTTTATGAAATTCATAATAAAAAATATCGATGTTCACTTTTTGCTAGATAAAATCTACAGGAGATAATGCAACATCTGGACGTATATCAGGAGTGCTTTAAAATTGAAGTAGATATAATGAAATCTAAAACATTTCTCCTAAATCCAGAGGTGAAACACAACGAAGATACCGGGTATATCAGAAAAGTTTAAAGTGATGCAAGTGTATATTAGTTTCATCTTTTATAACCTTCTTCTTCAAACAATTTCATTAAATTTTAACTATTTCTTTTATCATCTCCCTTTGAAAAATGAGCCTTCATCCATGGAGTAGAACCTGTGAAAAATTTTAAAGACAAGACAGACAGACAGACAGACACTGTTTGATCAGTAAAGCTTTCATGTGTGGCTCAGGTGAAAAAAGTAAGAAAATTTTAAAATTCAGAATTGAAAATCCAAAACCTCTGAAGGTCCCCTTTACAAACATGAAGATTGTAGAAAGGTCTTAAGGCAATGCAATTCTTGTCTGATCTCTAACAGATCTCCATAATTTCTGAAAGCCTGGAAATGTTTATGCAGAAAAATGTTATAAGGAGAGCATAAAATGTTTGTTTTGTGATGAAAAATTGATAGTATAGCCACATTTCAGGATGACCTGTTGAGATCACTGAGCATTCCAAGTGCTCAAGGAGAGTGAGAGATCTTTCAGAAATTAGTGGTTACAATGCTTTGTGTTGTGACTCCTGAGAGTTTGATGAGTGATTCTTTTGTGACCAATCCAGATCATTGAGAATGCTATAGAGATCGTTCAAAAATCAGGTGCAACAAAGATATTTTACTGAAAAACCTAAAGAAAATAAAAAGGAGATTGCAAAGAGATCAAAACATCTTAGGGTCTTTGCAAGATGTTTTTCTTTATAGGATGCTTTTCTGAGAAATGATTAAGTGATCTTTCTGTGCTCTTTGGGGCATTCTGCTAGAGTCTATGACCTTTGCAATCTTTGAGAGACTATTATGGGTAGAGTGAAAACTATGAAGAGACCACAGAGACTAAAACACTCTGGGAAATCACTCAGAGAGCATTACAATGGCTTGGTGACTATTACAGGATTACTGGCAGATAAGTCAGTTTTGCAATGCTCAGCATCCTTTTAATGGTTTTATCCTCTGTGTAAGGGTTTTTTACCAGTCCCCTAGTCGTGTGTACAGTAATTTGTCTCAGTTTATACCTGTAGACATTGCTGTTCATAGAAAGATCATATATTCTCCCTACTACTAAAGGGTAACAATTACCATGTATGCCACAAAATTCGTCAACACTATGAGAATATGTTTAACAGTTTGAGGGCTACCTTGAATTAATCTTTGTCACTGATAATTCTAATTAATTCATCACAATCAATCATTAAACCAATATGTTTAAAGGTATAAAGTTTATGCTCATTAAGAAGCAGTTTAAAAATACGTATATTCTGCAATGCATTTCTTGTTGCAGTAACAAATGACTTATCTTAGGAATTACTTTTTTTGCCACTAAAACATTCTGGTTTTTGTTACTTACCATAAAGAATTTAACTATTCTGCAAGCTTTGTATGGTAAACATGTTTCCCTTTTTTCCAATACATATTGCACCTGGGTGAATATTTGGGGAAGAGTGGCATGCAGGGTCCTGTCCACAAGCACCTGTGTTAAAAAATCTGAAAGTTAAGATTTTTAAACATCTAAAATGCATTTCTAATACATGTATATGTACTGTAAATGATTAGCAAATTCCCTTGGGACCTGAACTCTTGAGACAAAAGATATGAAGGCACAAGTTTGGTAGAAGGACCAATATTCCTCACAAAAACTTTGTCTGCAAGGCATTCATAAGTAAAGAAGCATTTTTTAAAGACCTGCAATGGGAATATATAGTTACGAGGGAGGTAATATGCACATCTTTCCATTACAATTACATATATACATGTACATCTGTTACAAAGTGCTATCATTTAAGAAATAAACAACGTTATTCAGTGAACATGGCGTTATGAATAGCAATTGCTCTGCTGGCATATTCCATGATGCGCGCTAGCTATTCATAATGCCATGTTCACTGAATAATCGTTGTTTATTACTTATATTTGCATTCTTTGATTTTTTTTTTCAAGAATATCAGAGGAAATCCTGACTTACATTAGGACACGGCTTCTTGTCTTCAGTAAAGAAAAACATACGGCTTTGAAATCAGTACACCTGATCAATGTTCCTTTTCTCTAATAAATCACAAACAATTTATAAAGTATTTCCCTCTCAAACACAATTATCTGGATACAAGCAGCGCCGTCATCACATTCTCTTAATTTTTGTTTTGATAGAGTTGTGACGTCATCGATCAACGTTATTGAAACCCTCTGACAAAAATCAATAATTTAACACTATGATGAAAAATGAGAATGCTTTTATAATGATTATTACTCCAGAATGCTTTTCTATGATTTTTTTTAGTTTTTCTATTTATCTTTTTAATAGCTGAAATAATTCTTGAAATAGATATACTAGTTAAAGAAATTTTCTCTTTCTGTATGTTATTACCCAAGTGTGAAGAGTTATCGTTCTTTGTACAAATATGCATGATACAAAAAAATTAAAATATGGCAGTTCTCTCAATTTTTCAAAAGTTTTATTATACAATTAAATACATTGACCAAAATTAAATTTTTAAAGATATAAATCAGCAATTCTAAATATTCTGAATTTCTTTTTTTTTCAAAGAATATTATTAAAAACTTATTTTTATTCCTCTTATGAAATATTTCATATATATACTTCTCAACACAATATATAAGTGTCATAGAGCTTGTTCTACACGAGTGTGATATAGCAATTGCATTGATAGAAGATGCAATTGTGTCTATAGTCCTATGAACGCAGTTGATGACTGCATGGCCATAGTGGGAGAGAGCAGTGGATACGCAAATATACTCTAATAATATACCCCCCCCCCCCCCCCCCCCCCCCCCCCCAGTGTCTCCCAGTGGACACAAGGTTGATACTATATATCGATCGGAATGATATAAGATCTTCCTTATGCTTCATGAAATGAACTAATGTTACTCCAATTTAAAAGAAAAATGAGCAGCTAGACCAAATGTCAAAAACCTCTCAAGGATTTTTAAAGCACTGGTACATTACACAAGAATTGGTTTACACCTGTGCTAAAAAACATCCAACACCTAATGTTACATCAAGAGATTAAATAAATTTCTGTTCTGAAAAACAAACCAGTTTATATCTCACTTGAACTGTTCATCCAGTATAAATCTTTTTGACATAATGCTTTTGAAGTCTGGGATTAATTTACTATCAATTATGCCTTATTGAACCTCCATAGTAGGATTACATATGGTAAAAGTGTTACTTTTGTATGAAAAGTAACTCTACCTAACCTTTTCTACCCCCAAGGTTGTTTCTATGTTTTATCTAAGGGAAACTTATTAAATGGGGATTCACATCCAAAATTTCAATTTACAACAGAGTATTAATTTTGGACACATCTCTGAATAGTGATGCATATACATAATTTACCAATATATATTATTTGGTAAAGTATAATTCACAAAAAATCCATTCAAATTGTACTCCACTACCTATGAATAATCTGCATGTTTGAGGGTGTAGATATGTTTTTCCTGCTTGCAGGTGTGCATCCTGGTTTGGTTCCTATCTCTGATCACTTTACCATACTCTGCTATCACAGATATACGTCACAGGGTCGTGGCACCTGACCTTTCCTCCCAGTTCATGACATCTAGTGTAAGAGGTGATGACATATACCAACATAAAACAGATGCTGGCTACCAATGCTTGAAAACATCCATCTGGAAAAAGAATAAGCTTTACAGTAGATGGAATATGAGACACTTCTATAGAACTTCTTTAAATTCTAACCCTCCTTCTTTTTTACTTTGTAAATGCAATGACAACAAATTTCAGTTGCATTAAGCAATATCCTGTTCTTTTTAAATGAAGTGACAGCAGATTTTGGTTGACTAGAATATCAATCAATCTCTTACACTTGATTTTAACATCTTGAAATATAAACAAAAATTTCTACACTTCAGAAAATGTCAAAGTGAAAGGGAGGAAGAAAATGAGGAAAGATAAAGCTTGAGTTGGTGCTTCAGAATATCAACAAATTTATTAAAAGTTCTTCTAGATAAGAGAACACAGAGCTATTTGTTATGATAACTTTAATTTCATCAAGGAAACTGATTTCAGATATCTTAAAATTTCATGTTTACCCAAACCTTTCAATATCCACAACATATATATTCACTTACATAAATATTAAAAGTTCATCTTGACACACCTCTTTACAAAAATTAAGTCATTTGGACCAAAATTAAAACTGCCAGTGAGTATCTAAGTTTAATTTTCCATGAAAACTTCATGTGTGTTCATGTATTTTCAAGTTGTTCAGAACAATGTGATAGATTCATATAAGCTATTCATTTTTTTCTCATCTGTGCTAGACACTCCACAAAAATAAAAAAGGTATTTTTCCCCTCTGAAGCAAGTATGGTAGTGTCCATCCCTAGATGAATCACTCATGCAAGATTGGTCCACACAGGGCTTATAGTCACTTGGGAATGGACCTGCTCCAAAACATTGACCTGGTTACTCATCTGGAAAATGTAGGTCAGATCCAGCATCTGAAGCAAGTCTGGTAGTGTCCATTCAGCATCCATGCAAGTTTGGTCAGGTAATATGGAAATGGACCTAAAACATGACCTGGTCTTATCATCCCCAGCATCCAAAGCAAATATGGTTATGTCCATCCCTGGATGCATCATCTATTAAAGTTTGCTTCTGGTAGATATTATAGTTACTTGTTACTTGGGAATGGAATTGCCCGGTCATTTATTTGGAAAATATAGGTCATATCCAGCATCCGAAGCATCTCTGTTATGGTTCATTACTAGATGCATCATGTATGCCAGTTTGGTCTAGGTAGGTTTTATAGTTACTTTGGAATGGATTTTTTCATTACTTTAACTGGGACATAAATGCTAATGCTGACACCAATACTAACACTAACACTGATGCCTATGCCAAAGGTTATACTTACCGGTAGTAGTTTAAGGTCAGACGATACGTTCCCCAAATATCTGTTTTGTATATCTTCATAATATATGAAAAATACACAAAATTTTCATTACTTTCTGAATTCTAAACCGGTTTCTAATTTATTTTGAAAATTTGACTTTAACAAACTAAGTTTTTTTCCCTAAAGGATTACATAAGAAATGCCACCCTGTGGTATCTCGCATAAATGCCTGGTAAGGTACCTCAATTTTTTGTGAGTAAACATGTTAAAGTATTAATTCTTCAATGACAAAATCTTGGAAAAAATTATATATTATTTAGGAACGTCTCGTCTGTCCTTAAGCTCATCTTGAGTTTATTGACCCATAAGGTGAGCGAAGAACCAACACAGATAAGCATAAACTTAGTTTTCACTATTTTGTTTAAAAATGCAATGACTGCTTCCATTCATGTGACTACACAGTATTCTTTGCACTGAATATATTGTTTATATCATTGACCTGAGTGATTTTTGATGAAAAGCAAGTTGGGTTTTGAATGATAGGTTGGTGCTTCAAAAGAAAAAAAATTTGGAATTTCCCTCTCGAGTGTTGATCAGTAGAAAATGATTGAACAGTTTTTTTCTGATTAAACAATCTCAAATAAGAAGAAAAAAATCTTTGTATATGACAGTTCAACATTAGAGGTACCTATATCAAATAACAACCTAGTATAATTAACATAAAACTGCACTATTTGCACAAGTGTTTACATTAATTAAACATGTCTTGTTTGGAGACACTTGATCCTTGAAAGCTGATGTTTTTGCATAAATTTATTGTGTAATTTAAACAAACATCAGGATGATGAATTTCACTTCCAGACTTTCACTTCAAGAAAAATACACGTTTATCATCAAGGCCAGGTGGTTGCGTCTTGTGATCTGCAAGTCGTTAATGTGCAGACTTTAAGATAATATTATCCATTCTACTTTCTGTACTTAAGTTTGAAAGCAGGTGCTTTAATGACCACAATGGATGATGGCTGCTGTGGGCTTTTAGACCTATTATATACCAAAACCTCATTTTGATGTGCAGTTTATCTAGTAGACATGTCTATCATGCAAATGTTTGCACTGGGTCACAAATTAAATTTTAATGATAATTAGAAAATAAAACATAACGTGAGTGACAAAATTGGATGATTTATCATTCTGACTATAAGGCTTTCACTTTTGTCTTGGGACTTTTTTTTTTATCATTTTAAATATTAAAATGCATTTAAAATGTCCTTCTACTGCTGGTTTCTTTAGAATGGACATTTATTTACTTGCAAAATGCACTTAATAAATGCATACATGTTGGATGGGGGGTCATAACCACTCATTAAAAAATCCAACCTCCACATCTTTTTTTCACTTAAGGTATCACTCCTGAAATTTGTTAAATCAAGGATTTTTTGAGAAGTATATTTTGGATAAGTATTCATAAAGTGTAACTCAAAATCGCAAAGAAAATAGGGGGTCAGTGTGCATCCTACTGATCTACGGTACATTTAAGTTGACCTTTTTGCACTTAAATTTCATCTCTTTGGTTAATTACTTTAACCCTTATTATATTTGATCAGATGTAAGCATGGCAATTTTTTTGACCTTTTTGCACTAAAAAATAACATATTTGGGGTATTAAAAAACTTAATAGGCAATAAAAAATTTTCTTATATCAAACTTTTTACGACTTAAGTGCTGATCAGTCACAAGTATCGAGTAGTTTAAAATAATGAAAGAAAAAGGTGGGGTCAGTGATGGTAATTTTGAAATATTTGTCAAAATATGTGATTTTCAGGCAAAAAATGGAGTAAATTTGATCTTGACTTCTTTAATATATTTTCATTTTTTGGAAAAGTTTGTTGAGGGAAGGTGTAAAACTTGGTCTAAAAATATAAATTAAGACCTATATTAAATATTTTTAGCAATATCAAAACGGAAAATATTCTCCGAGTAAAATTATGTGAGGCTAAATTTCCATTACATTAAATTTTATAAATGTGCAGATTTGCAGAATTATCTGCTAAATATCCTTCCACCAAAAGAAATAGTCCCTCATAAATCTTGCTTCTTTGTAGAATTTTGAGCAGTTTTTTTTCATTGAATGTTAACAAATTTACATTGTTGAATTTAAATATGTTATAAAAATTGAATTTTAATAAGTAGTTTTGAAGTAAAAGCTTCTGCGTGAACTTTTCTAAAAAGCTGACGAGTGACTTCCCATACGGAAAAAAAGGGCAAACAAACTACTATAACAAATTACTAACAAACCACTATGGTTTGAAAATAGTTTAATAGTATAGCAAATCACAAGCAAATGAGCTAACAAACTATACTCTAACAAACTACTATCAAACCACTCTAACAAACTACTATCAAACCACTCTAACAAACTACTATCAAACTACTCTAACAAACTACTATCAAACCATTCTAACGAACTACTATCAAACCACTCTAACAATTTACTATCAAACCACTCTAACAAACTACTAACAAATCACTGGAAACAAATCCATCAGCAAAACACTAAATTTGAATTTTCCTTTACAAATTCACAAGTCTTTGAAAACACCTAAAACAGTCACATTTTGAAATATTCAACAAGTCTTGTTTCAGAGTATTTTAAATTCCAGGATTGACAAGTTAAGCCAATGCAAGTGCAACATTCCAACATGTTTTGTTTAGGAGATACAATTTCAAGTCAACGTTCATGTACTTATCACATATTCTCTTTCATGTTGTGCACATCTTCATAGTATTTTTCACCAAAAAAATGTTCTTCAAGCTTTCCCATAATCCAATGCATAACTGATCTAAACTAGTATAGGAATTATAGGTCAATCTGAAAATAAATAAAAACCAGAAGCTAATACATCCACATTCACAGAAGGTTACTGTAGTCCAGCCTTAATTTTGGTAAAAAGGAACTTCATGACATGCATTAAATACCTCTTCTGTATCCAGATCCATCTTCTAATAATGTTAGTTGCTGCTTTTTCCAGTCAAAGATCTTATAGAATCAATGATACTAACAATTTGAATGTCCCTTCACCAGTTCCTTTGTTTCTGACCTGCTTGGTGGTTTGAAAATTGGCGCAAATTGCTAACACCAGATGTAAAGATTAAACTGTTCTTGGAAACTTCTACAATTCTAGATAATTCTACCCAAAACATGTCTGTAAAGTAATTTCCCATGTGGTTAGATTCAAATGCTATACTAATAAAACACTGTTGCAAGATACCAAGTCTAACAAACTATAAAGAAATCACAATCATCAGAAATGAAAGACTAACAAACCACTTTACTTATTTTTAGAAACAGTGGTTTGTCTGTGTTTCATTAAATGCTATACTATCAAACTACTTTAACAAACCACAAAAATATAGTTTGTTGGTAGTTTGTTGATGGTTTAATAGTAGTTTGTTTAAAATCTTTTCCGTTTGGGTTACCTTAAAAAAATAATCAAGTCATAACACTTTTTTGCTTGTCTGTTGGGGTGGGGGGGGGGGGGGTATGACATAGTCTTATTTATATATCTCAAGGTATCTGCAGAACTTGTAACTCTTGGAGAAAGAACATTTGATTGCAGAAACAATAAACTAGAGGTGTCTTTTATAGCTTCCATATTTTTTCATCCATAAGAACTACATATTCAGCAATTAGGAGGCTATTTTTCTTCATATATAAAACTCTTCCTTACAATTTAGAACCGGTTCTAGGTTTCCTAGAGGAAACTTACAATTCCTGAGAATAGCATATGTTTCATCAAGGTTTTTAATTGTCCTCCAAGAAAGATCAGCTGGAAGAAAAATCGTGACTATTAAAGCTTTAACAAAATGTCTGTTAATTAACAAATCATTATTGCAGCTCTTTTTTCCTCAGTATTTCAGACGTGTCAGCAAATCCAACATGAGCTGATTAAAATAAAAAGTATTACAATCCAGAAACAGGAAACACAAAAAGGGACAATTTTAAAAGATGCATTAAGTATGCAATACCATTCTGTGGTTGACATACAACTATAAGCACATAAATGTAGAGATTAATTAAAAGAAATAGCTTATAACAATCTTAAGCTCTCAAATGGTACTTCATTCACATTTTGGAACAAAACAATTCAATTAGTAGCAGTTTCAATAGAAAGGAAGTAGACCTCAAATTCATTGATGCAAAATTCTGCATGTGATACCTTATGAATTGCTCTAAAGTGAGGAAATGTACAATTAGCCTGGTCATGAGATCTAATTTATTGATCTGTGAAGGAAGCTGCACCAAGGGATTGCTCTCTTCTTATACAGGCAAGCCTCAGAGAGGAGTGTTTCCTCAATGAAAGCCTGCGGAGACTTTCCTGAATTATTGATAAAACCGTGGCATGGTGACAAGGGGTTGAAGAGGACAGACCAAATCCTCTGATGCCTTGCCATCACTCAGTCTGAAAAGAAGAAAATTTAAAATCTGTGATTTGTCAATAGAATTCACATAAACACAATACAACTCTGCCAAAACAGTGCACTGTTATGTTTCTGTAAAAGTCATTATTCAAATTAGCAGTGAGCAGTTACTGATATATAATGTGTTTTCATTTCCTTAGCATGACATTCTATGCAATGTTAATGGTTTGTTTAGATGTATTGCACAGAAATACACAGAGGCAAGCTCTTGTTCAAGCCGTCAAAACATTCCTAGCAAATAGTGATTAATGGAAATCTCTTGAATAATTTCCTAATGTATCTACCACTCATCAGAAGTGCCAACCATTAAGGATTTCAAATATTCTGGAGTTTACAGAGATTGTTTGGAGGGACAATGAGCTAGTTTATGAGGAAAACCCTGGTGATACTACCCTCCATTTTTACCCTCCTAAGACATGTACAGGACTTCTCTGTCATTTCTTATACAAAATTTGGGGTTTTTTTAAATTAGAAAAAAAAAAACCTTCAATGTTGACGTAAATATTGGCCAATACTGTTTTGTCATGAGTCGAGGAATCGGTTTTCAAACTGATGACAAATCATGATAAATTTGTCAGACATGAATGTGGTGGGGAATACGACCTTCTCGGCACAAGCGAACCTCCAAAGTGAGTCAGTGAACCTAATACAAGTGTGTAAAATAGGTGTTAGTCCAGAACTCCGGTACAATGTGTCCCCTAGAATTCTGTCGACAACTGGCAGTGAAACACGCCACCTTTACGTCTGCATCGGGACAATACTGAACCCAAATTGTAGGGTATTTTTTGTTTGTACCCAAGAACAAGTGTGTCAAAATCACTTTATCATCCTACCAGTTTATTAGGAGTCCTCCATAGAGCGTGATCTGTCAGGAGCCCCAGTACAGAAACTCTCCTTTATACTTAACTCCAAGGAGACATTCCTTGATCTCTGCTTATTATTAACTTAATTTATTCAAATGATTTGATAATGTCTCTAAAGTTTCTTGAAAATTTAAATAAGGGAATACAATCACAAGCAAAATTGAGATTGAGATCACAAAAAAACATGAAAAACTTTCCAGACTTAAAGTGAGCCAATTATATTTTGTTGAAAAGATTTACCTATATTTGAGGCATTAAAAGGAACCAAAGTTGGGTTGGCTGATGAGAAATTATCAAAGCAGAGGACCTTTATGAACTGTTATCATGCGAGAGAGTAATTACGTACAGTAATAGAAGCTTACACACCCAGGTGGTCAGTTCAGATTTTAATTTTGAAATCATGTTCAATTACAAAATCAGGGCAAGTGTTTCAGACCATAATTACAAAGACACAAAGTCTGTGAAAGGATAATGTAGTAGTTAATTGTTATAACCCTAATAAAAATGAAATTATCTTCAAAACTTTATGGTAGTTGCAATCAGTGCACATGTACTTCAAGATTCATTGTTTTCTGCTACATGTGTTATGAATCAATTTTCAGCAACTTTTTTTGAAATCATAGGATGCTTTTTCAATGGTACATGTACTTCAATGTAATTCTATATTACAATGTAAATCTACTGATGACGCTTAAAAATTGTTGATCAAAACAACAACAAACAAAATGTAAAAATACAAAAATTTTTAAACAGATTTGTGGTGAAAAGAATCTCCTTACCGGGTACACTATACACTGTACCTCAAACATTTTTATGAAAGGTGTGGTAAATCTGATTTTCTATCTTTTGTAAAATCCTTTTTTTCTCCACAAGTGGCCATTCAGGAGACAGCCAGCATAAAAAGAGATACCAGTAAAGCTTTCAAATCTCTCATCATGTCTACGTACTTACTCACATTGTCCTCGGTCAAAATTTTCAACAAGTTTTTTTTTTCCCTCCATTTATGGCAACAGGAAGCCTCTTCTGGAATAAAAGAGATAAAAAAATTAAAGCATATTAAATATGATTTTTTGTAGATTTAAAGAATTTTGCAAATTGAAAAAATGTTCAGTCATGGTTTTTAACAGGTTACACAGAATCATTTTCTGTTCATTAATAAAACTGCTTCGTCATTCTGCAATTGTGGGATCTAACCCAATGTGCGCAGATCCTGTGGGAAATTACCAAATATGGCCTTTTCATGGGACCATCACTTTCTTTTGCATCATGTTTATTGTGAAGTAACTGAAATGGAAAGAATAAATATTTAGAAAATGAGGGGAACATTAAATACTACTTTTCTTGTCCTTTTTCTTAATATTAATTAATATATAAACCCTCTTAAAAAGTACATTATAAATCTGATACAAAACACAGCTGCAGAGAGTGTTACAATAAAAGTGCATGCACTTTTTTGTTGCTTCAACAAATACCGGCCATTGTAAATATATATTCCCTTAACAAATGTAGACTTCTTTGTTGGTATTACAGATAAATAAAAAAATGCCTGTAACTTAATTGTAATTGAATCCACCTCACACATTTGAAAAGAGAAAAAAAAAATCTAACAATAATACATGTATTTGTATAAAAATTTTTGTGAAACTTGGATACTTTTTCCCTTCCTGTCTTCCAAGTAATGGCCATGAAACAGTCAAAGAAGGCAGTGTATTCTATGTGGTCTAACAGTCTGCATCTGATAGATTTCTACCTTATGTTTTTGACTTTAATTAGAACACTGCAGTTCAATATAAACAATATCAGGGCCTAAAATCTCATCAATCACAAACTTAAAAGGCCTGCTTCAAACTCTACAATGGTGTCTTCCACTTCTTTGTAAAATGACATGGAATCAGGCCATGGGTGCCTGTTAATGATCTATTTGTTCTAAGTGTGACATCATTAGACCTAATTAGGAGAATCACATTGAATTACAAAACAAACTAATTAATCTCAGTGCACCTTGACTCTGATCATCAAATGTACATTTATATCTGAAGCATAAACCAATTAGAAATTCACTTCCAGGGAACCCTAAAGAGGGTCTACTACCACATCTTAAAACATGAAAGGATTAATCAATTACCCTAAAATCTCTCGTCTTTTTAAACATCATATGCCGTATACACTTCCAATTACTTAGAAATTGTGAAGTGTGTATCCACAGTGAGTTTGAAAATATACACACTGTGACCAGAAGACAAAAGGGCCACCTATTCGGCACTATAATTAAAGAACATTAAACCATAAAAACATGGCAAAGGGAGCAAATGTTTACATATGATTAAGAAAGGATTTGTACCCATAAAGTACATTGGATTGGGAAGTCATTTACGATACCCCCTTCTGATCATCGAAGGTGCATTCTGGGTGAATGATCACATAAACCTCCTGCCAAAACCGATGACTAAATTTAGATAACACTTTTGTATGTACGTACATTCAGAGATAATCAAAATCAAAGACTTCGTCTGAGGTATGACAAAGCGATTGAATTACGATGACCCTATCATATGGTTGTTAGAAGTGTCCTACTACAAAACTAATAGTTTTTTTGCTCTCTTTATTTCACAATGTGGAGTTGTTGTCATATATTATCTAACAAGGTTACTAAAACAGACCAAATCCAAATAAACAACAAGAAAAGTGTACCTTTACAAAAAACATTTGTATCCTTTGATCTCTCGTTACTGTATCTGGCCCTATCACATTGTAATCAGATCTTCACTTTATTATAAGTATATATACAACCTTATGAAGAAAGGTAACAAAGAAGGTAAACAGTAAATATCTGTGTATTCATATGCCTTCACAATTATCCCAAGAAAAACATGTACAATGATGTGTATTACGTACAGCCTATATACATGTACATGTACTGCAAGATCAAACATAATACGTTTATAATAAATATTGACAGGACAATTCAAATTTTTAATAAGGTCTGTTTTAATTCAGTTCTTGAAAATAAATAATGATTCGAAGAAGATATTATACACAGACAGACAAACTTCAGTTGTACCTGTAAATTACTGTTTTAGTAAGTAGTATTTATCTCAAAATGTGATAAAAATCTATGTTGTTAAAGATCATTATATATAAAACATAATTAAAGCTGAACACAATTCGTAAAAGGAATGTGTCCGCCATTTTTGTTCTGAGAATCGCTATACCTGCAGACCCTATATAAAGGGCAGGACTTTGTCACTGTTCAATGTAATCAGTCGACACCGGTGTAGACAACATATGCTATAGAGCACTTAGTAGCGACAATAATAACGTAATACTTTGTCTAATGCAGGAAAGTAAGATGCCAAAGAAACTTACAATTATAGTTGTACAGGTCAGTGCAGTATACAAACAAACACAGATATACGTAACTGCAATAAAATGTAAACAAAGGTAATGCAATATAACCAGCACGAACACGGGTTGCCATTCTATGCCGATACCCGTGACAATAAAGCAGACAGGTGTAACGAATCTGAAGAGTATACCCTGGTGTTGATGTATCGTAGATAATAATATCGAAAATAGCGTATGCCTATTTACGAGTCGTGTTCAGCTTTAAGCAATAAGTTGACAAACTTTAATATATTGTACTGTTAGGTTACACCAAAAACCCATCTCAGATCTGAAACTCTAAGTATGTGTCAACTCACATGGTATTTACCCTAAAGTTGTGTAAAGTTCTGCAAGACTTGGGCATGAAGAAAGCTAACAGACAGACTGATAGGGAATCCAATAACATAATAAGGCAATTCAAAAGTTAAGCATGTATTACAAGTAACTGCCATATGTGAGCCTTCATCAAATGTCCAGGCCTCTGAATGTAAAGAACGTAGTGACTATGGGACAAAGCAATTTTGAAATGAGCTAGTGCATCTTAATTATCTTGTCCACAGAGTAGTCTACATTTTCATTCCATTGATAAATATGAAAACAGCAAAGAAGTAACGGAAAATATGAGAAACTGATATGGTAAATAATAGCTGTAACAATGTGTTAATTGCCTTAAAACTGACTTTAATTATCTAATCCACTGATCCGCTACATCGGCCATACTGTCTTCTTAAGCTCCCTGTCTGGGACAAGACTTTGATGTTCAGCCATGCTTCTACTGTAAACAGAAGAGCACAAATCAAAGGCTAAAGAGTCCAGTACAGTAATGCTTTATCATAGTTATTAATGCTTCACTTTATCCTGTTCATTTTAAAAAAAATTCTTTTTGTTAAAAAAAGGAATAAAACTTCTGCATTTCAAGTGAATAAATTTAGATTTAACGAGGCCCGATCTAGTTGAAAATTACGAAAACGGAATGATAAAAAATTTTAATTCTAGGAAATATACTTGTACGTTTTATGCTTAGAAAAATTAGAATGAAATTTTGTTACCTTGCCTTTATTGTAGTGAAATGGGGGCACTGTCAAGATATGGACCATTTTTCGTGTTTTTATACACAATTACATACTAAAACTCTTCAATAAACGAAGAAATTTACAAATTAAAAAAAAATGCATGATGAAATTCTTTGTTTTTCACATATATCATGCAATTTTCATTCCTCTTATAAAAAATGAAAAGAAAATTGGAGGTAGCCTTTATTGCAGTGAAAAGGGGGCATGTCAAAACACAAAATTTGGATTTATTCTATCCAACTACGTATTTTATAGGTCGCAATGGGTTTGCATAACGCCAACAAACGATTGCAATACTGTATTAGTTTCTAAAAAATAAATAATTCATAGATTATGAAATAATTTTCTCGCCATGCTTTATTTTTCTCTTAACACACGACGTTGTTTTACGTGGAAAAAAAGGGGTAGATGGAGGAGGGGGGTAAAGGCGACAAAATTTCAATTTTTGCTAATATCATGTAATATACAGAAAATTAAAATATTTCGGGGGTTCAATATAAATGACATACAGACTTATTTTATTTTTTAAAACTGAAGATAATCCATGTATATTTAAGTCCGCAATAAAAAGAGTGTGTGTAAACACTTCAACATGTTCAAAGAGGAAGACTAAAATCATTTACTTTTAGTTGCAGTGTTTGCTTTTTTAAACTCACAAATTGAAATAAAACAGGATAAAATTAGTTAATATGTACCAAACAATTAATCCCTCAAAATTGATTAGGTTCCAAAGTTGTTTATTAATTTAAATACAACTATATTTAAAAAAATAATAATAGAAATGCCATCTTTCAATTCATAGTCTACAGAGCTACCAGGTAAGCAAGATCAGCGAAACAATTTAGCGCAATTTGACGTCATTTTAACTGTGACGTTATTGTGTTCAATTGTGACGGCAGTCAAGGGTATTGTGACGTGCCTGAGTCGACGCTGCATTAAAACGTATGCGCAGATCAAGTAGATTGGGCCTCGTTAAGATTGAAGAACTATTCTGTTCCATAATTTCTCTACTGGAATAATTCAATTTTTCTTCTTTTTTTTTTAACCCACAAAGCATATGTTTGGAATCTCTGGATTACCACACACCAAAACACAAAAATATTTTAATAAAATTCAAATACCATACTCTTACAAAAGGAAAGTTAGGGTGGATGGAGTTGGCATGAAAAAAAATCTGATCACGAGTATGAAGCCTCTGTCAAGACAGTGGCTCCATTAGTTTGTACATATTGTAGGCAAAAAAAATATCTATTAAGTATTAAAAATTTGTCAATTGATCATATTTTCATGACATTTTAATAACATATAGGAACTTTCAATGTGCCACTCCCACAGGACTAAAATGTGAGAGACCAGAACAGGATTCGAACTTATGTGACCAGTCCTGAAATCAAGCCTGGTTTCCTTCCTTATGTTAATTGTAAAACCCCCCCTTTCAAACACCCACCACACACTTCCATTGCATATGTCTCTCCTGTCTCTTCTAGGGCATGGTGAAAACACAGGTACCCAGTAAGAAATTTTCAAAATGCAATGCATTGGACAAAATTTCAAACTGGAGACCCTTGTTGCATTACACTCCACAAAACACTCAAGTCTAGGCTTTTCCTAAGCATCAAAATATATTCAATAAAAAAAAATCCTTGGCCAAAGGCTGAAAAGAAACTTAAATTTAAATGAAAAAAACCAACTCAAACTCCAACGCGGTCTCATCAAATCTGTAGTTTTGCAGTTTTAATACTGTCTTATACCAGAGGCACATGCTGATACTATGCCCAAGGAACAACTTCTTCGTTGGCATCAATACTTCATTCTTACCTAGATGGTATGAGTTAGGTTGACAATGACACATCCTGGGGATGTACATTTTTGTCAGACAGTGAAGACAGTCAGAACTGGTTCGAAATGGAAAATCGGAATCACAGGAAATAGAATTCGAAGCGGAAAAGTAGAAAACGAAGTTAAAATTGCACGACTTTTCTTATTCCGGATTTTAGCATTATTGAAATGTGTCTATCAAATGAAATAACATTATATATCATTCCAGAGGGGTTAAAAGTAAGAACAATATGAAAATTTTCACTGAACAATAAAAAGACCTTTACATGACGTTGAGGACAAGATCTCTCGAACACTATCAAAATCGACAAAGTTGAGATCTCAAAAACAGGCATCTATTTCTGTTATATTTTTCTTTAACCTACAGAGTTATACTATGTTACCTTGTTTTTTGAAGGAAGCTACATTTAAATTTTACTCAATACTAAATACACATGGCATTCACAAAAAAATCAAGATACATGTACATCTTTAGTAATACAGTCAGGGTGGGGTGGGGTTGGATGGGTTTCGTGGACTAGTATAATTATATGAATAAAATTTATGGCAATACGGTTTGTGAAAATGGCAGCCTGATTAAAAATTGACAAACTCAAAGGGGGGGCAGAATGCTAATATGATAGAATGCGTTTTCTATTTCCTCACCCATTTTATTGCTGTTAACTGGGATCTAGTCCCAAGTGATAGCAAAATGCTATTACCCCATTGGAGGGTGAGGAATATCGCATAGGCAAAATAATGTTAAAAGCGAGACAACTCAAAAAAGATACATGTAAGTACCTTAAAGTCGGTGTCCCCAACACTCATGCATGCATAGAATCACACCACGGCCACTTCAAGTCCGTAGCTACATTTATAAGATGGGGGACCTCCAAAAACAATTGGCAAGCAAAAAATAAATAAATAGATAAATAGAGTCTACATAAATAAATAAATAAAAATATTTTTTTTAAAAAGCTATGCACAATACTCTAAAATCCTTCTTTTGGGAGGGGTAGAGGGGGGCTTCTTGTAACTTTTCTGTTCGATCGGTACATTATGATTACTTTCAAATGCTTGAATCTGCATACCGGTATTTTCCGGCAACAAAAAATGTAGAGGGAGCTTCCAAATCAAAATATTAATTAAAACTACAACAAAAGATTATTCTCAGAAAAAGTGAGCCCCCCTCCATCTGCATACTACAAGAACATTTTAAACCTTTCTCTTCATTGATTAAAAATATTTTAGGCATATTTCTTAAAGTTAGTTACTTCTGAAGATGGTCCAAAAATGGTATAGCTAAAGTTCGCCGGAATCTTCCTTGCATGTTACTTGTGGGTGGTCGGAGCCCTTAGCCGGGGTTGTGAAGGTACACGGAGGAAAACAAATACGCGAAAATATACAGATCTAGCGAGCAGAAAGGACAGAGAATTTTTTTTTTTAAGTTATTAGGCGTATAAATATCTAAATTACAGAAAACTCTCTCTCTCTCTCTCTCTCTGAGGGGGGAGGGTCCCAACCACCGGAACCCCCACTGGATCTGCCAATGAGATACATAATAAGAGATTCATACATGTATAATAACTTAATAAATGAATATTTAAAAAGAATTATTCTACGATGATCATATCTCAGATCGATAATAGGCCACAAGGAGAAGATGAGCGAACAAGGAGGGTAAAATATCTAATATGCAAAAAAATAAATAAATTAATAAATTAATGTATTAATTAAATCGTATCAAATTTCTTTAAATGATATCATGTACGTTCACTTACATAAAGGTTCACTTTATGCCAAATCTCCACTAATTACAACAATTTCACGTCATTATTAGTCTATGGAATAGCATTCATGCCAGCGACGTAGGCACGTAGCATCGTTTTTAAAAGTGTGGAAAGGGGGGAGGGTAGCCCAAGGAAAAAAAATCAAACTTACCTGAATAAAAAGGAAATATGTTTCCAAGCTCGAAAATTCTATTTCGCGTATGTGCAGGGGGGGGGGGGGGGTGTTGTAGTTTCCAACTTCTTTCAGTACCATTTTTTTTTATTCAAACGCTACATTACCAAGTGGGGGGATACTTTTAATGAACATTTTCTATAGAAAAAAGTTATGTTGAAACAAAGGGGAGGACACCCCATCCCCACACATGCCTGCATACCCCCCCCCCCCAAAAAAAAGAGAAGAACGCTTAAACCCTTTTTGTTCTGACACATGAATGCGTGTGACTTAGATTCCCCACTTTTGAAAGATAATACTCAAGACCGAAGACTGTATATTACATATCTACGGAAGCCTGTTGGTGCCACATGCGAAAAATATTTTATCTGGCGGCCGCCAGATATTAAGTGGCGGCCGCCACTTATTATTTGGCGGCCGCTACTTATATATCTGGCGGCCGCCACATAAATTATTTTGCAAAAGGTGAGTGTTATTGTATAGACCTTTATTGGGTTAAGAAGATGGATGTTGACACAGCCGCTGCTTATTGATAAAAAAGTTAATGATGAAAAACGAATTCTTTAATATTGGAACACCATTCTTAGAAATCCAGAATGCAAAACTTTATTTAATTCTCAACCAATCATAGAGCTTACAGCAAACACATGCATATAGGTGACGAGATTATGCGGTCTCACCTAAAACTAACACCATCATGATTTATGTGCGTGACCCCTGATGAGGCCTCTTAATAGCAGAAACACTCTACAACTACTTGCATAATTCAAATCAAATATTAATCTGCTCTATGCAAAAACATATCCACTAGAAGTGTGGTTTGGAGTGTCGGGTCCTAATAAATCTCTTACAAGTTTGGTTGATTGAGTCGCTAATTTTCACACTGTATCCACCTCTGAAATCACACGTTAAAACATGCACGCGCATTAGGAAGCCAAATGTTATCTGGCGGACGCCAGATAAATTATGTGGCGGCCGCCAAATATTATGTAGCGGCCGCCAGATAAATTATGTGGCGGCCGCCAAATACTTTGTAGCGGCCGCCAGATAAATATGTGGCGGCCGCCAGATGTTATATAGCGGCCGCCAGATATTATGTAGCGGCAGCCAGATAAATACATGGCGGCTGCCATACAAATTTTTTGGCGGCCGCCAGATAAAATATTTTTCGTACGTGGCACCAACAGGCTTCATATCCCACAGAGATGAAGCAAAAAAAAATAAAAATGGGTGGAACCCTTCCATTAAAGTATACTTTTTCATGTCACAGTATTCATAATACGTGTACTTGAAGTCAAGGGTATGCCATGCATTAGTTAGATTACTCTGTACACAGGCCGCGAACGCGAGGGAGGGGGCATCTTCCTCCTAATTTTTCGGATTATGGTATTTTATATGGTTTTCCTTTTTATATATGCCAGCACATATACAAACACACACTGTTTGCTGTTGCAAGGTCGAACATTGGCAAGTTCCAGAATTTGCAAGGACATTTTGGTATAATCATCCCTCTCACATTTTGGTCTGTTTATGTGTTTTTTAAGCACCCCCCCCCCCAACTCCCCGTGGGTTAGGTTCTCATCACTGGACACAGACTGACAACACAAGTGAGATGGTTGTTCTAACTCACATTTCAGCTACGAATTTTCGGGATTATATTTAGTTTTAATTTTTTTTCTTTCTTACGTGTACAGCAGCTTTTCAGTTTTTCTTAACTATTACCGATTAGTGTGATAAAGTTTACGTTGAGAAAGTACAGCCAGGAATGTGTGTCAGTCAAACGCGGAAAATTTGCAGTTTTATTTCAGATAAAATACTAGTAAGTCTTTGGGGACATTTATATTACCCCCCCCCCCTCCCCGAAGAAAAGATGCATTTTTTAAATCAAGGAATGATCAGATTTGCCCAAAATTTTCCACAGAACAGTGTTGTCTAGCCTAATTTATACCTTTCAATGTTTAGAACTTCACTATAAATTCCAGGCGCGGATCCAGGAATTTTTTCCAGGGGGGGGGGGAAGAGTCCATCCTAGTGTGAAAATAAATCCAACCCAGAAATTTGTTGACAAGCAAATAAAAAAAAGGTTACCTCGTGAAAAACGTGAAAATCCTATACATTTCGTAAGGGGGGGGGGGGGTAGTCGTTGACTTGCAAATCTTCTTCATACCTATGACTTTTCATACTTAACCATATCCAACTTTTTTAGGGGGATCTGCGTTTTCTTGGGGGGGGGGGGGTCCAAGGTCACTTTTTACTTGGTTAAGTATACATAGTAACTCTGCAAATTCCAGGGGGTCCGGACCCCCGATCCCCCTCTACATCCGTGCAGATCGTATAGGTTCCCAAACTTGTTAGGTATTTAAACCAAATTTTGTTTGTTTAACTAGAATCTCTGTGGAGAATAAAAAGGAAGTCCGAACAAAGGACAAGTTTTATAGATACGTGATTATTGAATTTTCCCGCCATTGATATCCATATTGATCGTTTCGGAATTCCTCCAGTGTTTACATCGGTGTCATTCGGAATTACTAGAATAGAAACAACATGGCGATTAGAAAACGTCCGTCTAAAATGAAACTATGAAGGAACTACCACACTCCCACGGACAGAGATGACCTCTAGAGATGTTCTGGTTGTTTCTGTCCACGCATTGCCCAAGAGATGAAGAAGGCGACAGAAAAACCCGGAGAATCAAAACCGGATGTTGACAAAGCAAAACGTGTTTACAGGTCCTCGTTTTTTCCATTCAGCATTTTGTAGCACACATTTCCTTGCCTGTTAGATCTGTTTAAAATTTTTAAATTTACTTTCATTGATGACAAAGTATTGACAGTTTAATTGTAATTATGTAAATCGTATATTTTAAACATGCTACACTTGACCTTGGTGATGGTTTATTTACAACTGCAAGAGGAAAGTCTAAGAGAATATTATCATGGCTGAAGTAGGAATCAAACCTAGAACCTTGCATTACTAGTTAGGTGCCCAAAGCTCTAAGCTATCTTCAGGCCATTATCCATAGTCTGTATAGCCAAAACTACTACACCACTGCATCCCCCTCCTTAAATTATCTTGACTCCAGAAGTCACATCCCTTTAGATTTCTTTGGCCCCATAAAGAAATTACACTCTCAAGTCTCTGGGTGTCATGATTGGCATCAAAGTTACAGAAAAGGAAAAAAAAATATGACAAGAACCAGGGATGTCCATAAGAACTGAAATAGAAGGGGGCATTTAGAAAGTAGAGGGGGTTTCTCCCCTGATGAGGATTTCAGGAGGAACACCAAATAGCCAGCTGATTGCATTATTAAAGGCATGGAACTTCCCTGGCCCCTGGGTTTTAGGGACAACCCTAAAGACCTGGTATGACACCTGGGACCCATGCTCTGACCACAGAACTATCTCTTGGCAGAAATCCATGTTCTATATAGTCCAGTTCACTTCAGCGAGAACTGTATTTCATATGCAAATTAATGCTTTCACTCTTTATTAAAAAACTTCAATCTGACTAGAAAAGGATTGATGGTATTTATTGCAACTGTCAAGTTAAATTCATAGTACCTTATATACTTGCCTAAAAGTAGGATTTTTCTGGAATTAATCTCTGTTCTAAAACACTTTGTGTGACTTAAAGGTCAGTTATAAAAAGTTTGGTATATTATTGGGTCATTCGATCCCTACAATACATTGTATAAGCTCAAAAAATATAATCGACTTATAGGCAGACCAACTTTTAGGCGAGTATGTACAGTAATGAATGAAATTTTGTGAAAATCCCAGATTTTTAATATCTAAATTTTTGTAATTTAACAGGGTAGCTTTAGATGCTATTAAGAAGCTTGATGAGATTTTGAAGCAGAAGAAGGCCTATAGGGACGTCTTTCTACAGGATGCTGTGGGGCTCAGAAACAAGTAATCTACCAAGTGTTTTATGTATCGGGGGCCCGTTTTACAAAAGAACATACACTTAAGACCAAAATTTAATTCTTCTTATAACTCTCTATTTTACATAAATTTGAAAATGTTTTATTCTTTTGAAAAGAATTCAGAATGATATTTTTATGGTAACAATTTCAAAAAGAATAATTAATTTTGCAAAATTTTATAATCAAAATAAGTTTTGGTCGTAGTAAGTCATAAGTTCTTTTGTAAAATGGGCCCCTGAATTTCAGGAGGAATTACAATAAAGCTTAAATATATGCAAGAAATGAATATGAGTCTGAAATGTATCTGGTATTTAAATATTAGATTCTGGGATAAATGTACTGAGGGTTTATATTAATAACTACTTTTTTTGTACACTGTATTACTTTTTTGTGAAAGAAATTCATTGATATCTTTCTGTGAAAAAAATTACTGAGAAAGGGTAGGTTAAAAATGTTGAAAATATACTTAATTAACCCAGTAAAAATGATGACTTATTCAGGTTGAAGGAATACTGTGAGAGGTTGATGTTCTATAACCCAGTGGATTATGGGAGGAAAGCAGAGGAAGTTTTATGGAGGAAGGTCTTTTATGACCCTATTCAGCTGGTCAAGAAAAACAGAAGGGTAAATTCATAATCCACAAACTGATCCATGCATCTAATATCTTTTTTTCTGCATCTGAGTGCAAAGTCAAGCAATATCCCATTCACAATCAATAAACTTATGTTAGTCTCACTACAAGGAAAGTGTATTGACACTATGTATTTTTCAATTTTTCTGATACCAGATTAGATAGATCTTATTCAATATAATCTATGAGAATACTTTCTCTTTAACATATTGAGAATATTATATGTGTTATGACATAATATAATTATACCTGTAGCACCTGCGATCTGGGAGTTCTCTGGAGGCCGCCTTTCGGACCCACCTATCGGCAGCCACTGGATATTACCACCACCTCATCTTCAGACTTCAGTCCGAGTTTGGCCTTAAGCTAAATAGAACTTTAGATTTCTTCCTTATACCAGAGTCGAAATCTGGTTTGTATGGTATTTACACTTGAAAGCTTTTAAATCTTGATGTTTGATGAGTTCCAAGGCCTTCATGCATTCATCTGAATTGTTTTCATAATTCATGTTTAAGGCTCATTCCTAGAATATTGAGTCCACCTAATATTTCTTTCCATAAAGTATGCACTACATTGAAAGATAATATAAAACACAAAAGATATAATTTGGACACAATATGGAAACGATGTCATGAACACGGGTCCCAATGATGATTCCACAGTATTTAGAATTGTTAAGTTCCAGATAAAATCTATGGTTTGAATCTGTGAATAGTCTTTGAGTGTTGCATACTTAGACTTTTAGCTACATTTGAATTGACTCTAACTGGCATACAATATATTGATGTAGGACAAAAGAAATCGATGAGTCAGACTGTGAGAAGGAGGGATGCCACACCCGCTGTTCAGGACTGGGCAACCAAAGCGTGTCATCGGTGTCTGGTCTGTCTTGGGGATATTGGTAAGGTCTACAAAGGGGAATCTATGAGATATTGGACACTATTAATTTACACTGAGATAAATATTTTTGAGATTACTTCAGAGAAATTTAGAATAAAAAAATTGTGTTTTGAAGAAGTCAGTATCATATAGAAGAAGAATTTTACATATTTCAAATAAATAGCATATCACTCATATCAAATTATATTTGGTACTTGTCACATTATATTTTCTTTGGATAAAAAGTATTATAAAATATTTGAGTTTTAACATTCATCTTTTGATTTATACTGTAGCTCGCTATCAGCAGGAATTTGACAAAGGTGTCAGTAGGGCAGCAGCTGAACGATTCTATCATCAGGCTATAGCCCTTTTCCCAGACAATGGTAATGCATCAAAATTTATCATTATTGATGTTTGTATACTTGTAATTGAAACAACTATCAGAATTCAATGTACAGTGATTACCACATTTTTTAACAGGGATGCCACATAACCAGTTGGGCACATTGAAAGGTTCCCGTTATTTCCAATGTGAGGCTGCATATCATTACATACGATGGTAGGTATAAGAGACTGTGAGTATAAGTACCATGGTCATCTTTGTCAACCACTAAACTTTTCTTTTGCTTTACATAAATTTTGGATAACTATCTTCAAATTTGAAATGTGCCTTGCATTGAATAGAATGTTTTGCACAAAAAAAATTCAATAGTCAATTTAAAATGAACTATGATAAATATTGGTTGCCATTCCTTTTAAACTAAAAAGGGGGTACATAAAAGAACTAGTATGTGGCTTTATATTCAGGGGCTTGTAAAATTTCAAATCTGACCTGTGTTTGGTAAGCATAACATATGTCATGATAAAGCAGGTGAACTGTATGTTTTACTAGTATGGTTTGCGAGAAGGCATTTGATGGAGCAGAGGGGAATCTGGATAGGTTGTTTGAGAAGAACAGAAAGAGATTCAGAGAACTACAGCAAAACAGCAACCAGAGTCTTCCACCTGAGCTTCAAAGGTAAATTACCTACAAAAGTAACAGCTACATACAAAAAAAACCCAGCTAAAAACAAAGGTAAAGCTGGTAAACAGCTACACACATAAGTAAACAGCTACACACAAAAGTAAACAGCTACACACAAAAGTAACAGCTACATACAAAAAAAACCCAGCTAAAAACAAAGGTAAAGCTGGTAAACAGCTACACACTTAAGTAAACAGCTACACACAAAAGTAAACAGCTACATACCAAGTTAAACAGCTACACAAAAAGATGTCTCTGTACATGTAATGAATTATCTTTCTTTTTTCAGGCAATATGATGTGAAATTTTTCCTCATCCACTTCATTCATCTATTGGATGTTTTCTTTGATACAAATAAAAGGTAATACACATAAATTTATGAAAGAAATTACTATGGAAAACTTTGTTTGGTTTTTCAGTACTGGTACAGCTGATATACCCATTGTTGGTATGTTTAGGTCTGTTGCTGTACAGTTCAACAGCTGATATTTTCATTGTTGTATGTCTTAGTATTGTTGCCGTGAAGTTTTATCACTGTTATGCTCATTGTTGATGTGTTTCTGTATTGATGCTGTACTATTAGTTATCCAGGTTCAATCAAGGGTGTACAGGGATTTACCATGGGGTTTTATTACATACACCCTGAGGCTGAAGGGTGTATGGAATACAACCGGGGGTAAATCCCTGTACACCCTTGGTTGGACATGGATGACAATTTATTTCCTATGTACTGTATTTTACCGGTAATCATTGGATAAGATTAACTATGAGGGGTTATCAAAAAGTTCATGGACTGAGGCTATAAAATTAGTACTGTGTTGTCTGAGCTTACAAAATTTATAAGGAACATAAACAACAAAAAATAAAGAAATGTTAAAAATTTTAGCTTGATACATTCATTATTTCCCAAATTATCATAAAATAAAATGGACATTATATGGTCACCCATCGCCGTTTAGTTTCATGACGTCTGACAACGTCATAATTTTTCAATATCTGCTTCCTCTACCTGGTACACTTATTTTGATGAGATTCTCAGCTGAGTAAGTAATTCAATCCGTCTTGTTTATATGACAATGCCATGAACAGACATTACCTGTGCATTCCTTTTCTCTCTGAATTTTTTTTGGCATTTAAGAACAAGTAATCCGGATGCATATTATTTCTCCGTAGCCAGTACGTGTATACTAGTTTTTCCAGGGGCAAAACTTTAAAGAATGTTGGAAAAGGAAACCCCTCCCTCTTTTGACGTCATTTTTGAGGCAATATTTGTTTGTATACTCCATGTAAAATTTACAATAAAATTTCATAGAACTTCCAGTATTAGGTAAAAATTTAATATTTTATGGAACAATTGGTGTCCTAACACATACCTGAATTAACAGGATTTTTGGATGTCGAATGTTCATATCAAAATAGTTTTCTTAGTTACAGTTAGGTAGAAAAAAACTTCGTTTTCGAGGTTGCGCCGCATGGACATACCATTGCTTACAAAAACATTACTAATTCATTAAAAAATAAAATTTATGATTTGTGATTTATTCTATAGATAGAAAAGATTATGATAAATAGGTATTTTAAAATTCATTTATGTACCTAAAGCGGTTTTAATTTTATGGCGTTAGTCCACAAACTTTCTGATAGCCCCACGTATATACTACAATGCATTGTGATGTCATGTTATTTGGTTTTTCTCATAGAAAAACTATGCATTGTGTGTCACATTATTTACCCCTGGCTCAAGTCGGATGCAAGGAAATTTGCACCTGACTTTGTAACAAATCAAAGCTCGTGTTACAAGCTACATAGAAAATAAAGTTTTATACAGCTGATATGCTTCCTGTTGATGTATTTCAGTGATGTCAATGCTGTACAGTTTTATATAGCTGATATGCTTCCTGTTGATATATTTCAGTATTGATGTAAGTCATATCCAGTTTATTTTGGTGTGTTTCAGCATTGATGCAGCAGAACTCCAGGAATCTTGCCAGTCAGCCCTACAGAGCTTTAACCTGTGTATGTTTTATGAGCCCGTGGTGTATGCTGAGGAGGAATACAGAGATGAGAATCTACAGTATCTGGATGATGATCTGGTGTTTAAACTTGTTGTGATTTGTATGTCTACCATCCAGCTACTGCAGATAAGAGGTATTTTGTTATTTATTTTCTTTAATTAGTCAAATTTTTGTTTTAGGCCATCCTTAAAAAAATGTTTGTTTGGAATTGCCGCCTGGGGGTTTTCACACCCAGGAGGGAGGGAGGGAAGTTATTTTATTTTTAGTTTTTTACAAATTAAAGCTTATTAATAGAAATTAAAAATCGCAATGAACAGTGGTGATTTTCGTTAATTTCCCTCTTTCTTTTATTTGGTTAATATCATTTTTGTCTAAAATATACGCACAATGGTACTCAAGTATCAATCTTTCTTCGATGTTCGATTTGCTTATCTATTAAAAGTCAAATTTCAGCGTCAAACTTTTTTCTTTATTTTAAAAATCTTTTTAAAACAATTTCTTTACAAATCTTTTTAAAACAATTTTATTAGTGTATTTCATAGCTTTCTCTTTGAAATTTAGCCCTTCACAAAATTTCTTAAGAATAGTTAGGATGTTTTGTGGAAAAATGGGAGGGTGTGCTTGGTATGTTCTAGAGTGTTTGCCATGAATCAGTTTTAACATTAGGTTTCAAAGACTTGTCATACTGACAGACAACATTTTTCCTTTTGTATTTGGGAATAAACATTTCTGACCCATGTGTGTTTTTGTAACTGTGTCGAACTGAACATTTTCATTTTTAATTTCAACATGACGGACTTATCCTATCAAGTTCAAAGGGCAATCTATTACAATAGCTCTTTCCAGGTATCGGTGTATCATTCCATTTAATTTTTTATTCACCTTTTATTTTTATGAAGATGCATAAATGTTCTGGTCTTCAACGCTTGAATGTTTTCAAATCCACTGAGCCAACTTGGTCTGACATTTTGGCAGCTTTCATTTTGTCAAATCGCCAACTATATTCCCTATATCATAAATACTATGAAGAAAGCGTTTTAATGACCGGTGTTGTTAAATGTATGTGAGCTCAAACCCGACTTTAAAAAGCTATTTCGAAGAACGAACTAACTTGTAAAAAGCCATGTCGAACATAAGACGGTAAAAAAAATATTTCCAATATTTTGCCAATAAAATTTTTTGAGCGGGGGGTATTTCAATGAGGCGGGCGGCAATTCCAAACAAACTATAATTTTATTTTGGCCTTACATAATGTTTTGAAATCTGTAATCAAAGTATTTTGGTGAGAGATCTTATTTGTTTTCCTCTTTCAGCTTATCCTCTCTACATACTGTAAATCACTATTTATTCGCGAGAACTTTATTTTCGCGTAATTACGCGAGGCAGTGAGCTCGTGAAAATTTCATTCTCGCGTATAATAGTATTCCTTAAGATTATGTAGAGAAATATTAGCAATTCGTGAAAATTATGTCTCGCTTATAAAGAATCAATGACTTTCTCACGAAAATAAGGTGTCACAAAAAATAAATGATCTACAGTACTTGTGATTAAGTAAAAAGAATTTTCATGGCGTCGAGCAAAGCTCAAGGTCAGATTTACGCGACCGAATGTGTCAGTGGATGCATATGCGTCCGCAATAGAAAATAGCAACAGCTGTAGACCAATTTCTTTGAAAACGCTCACAATGAATAATAGCTTGAATATAGAATTACGTCAAATTGTATCTTCAATTAATTCTACTACAAAACAACGATATTGTGTTTAATTTTTACGCAAGAAAAACGTTATGGTTGTTGCGGATGAATTTCTACAGAGAGGGTGCGTCGAATGACATGAATGACATTTTTGGGATCAATTAGGCTATCTAAATTTAATTCTCTGGTTCTTAGGCCAATTTTCTCCAAAACAGATGCGGGAGGGAGGCATATCATTTATCATTTTATTGGCAAAGTAGATGAGGGAGGTATTTTTTTAATTTTAATTTTCGAATTTTCTTTAAAATAAAGATAATTTTTTTAATCACAGATATACCTTCCATGTCTGATCAAAAGGTTTGCTTTATCCATTGCTTATCAGCGTGTGAACATCGTAGACAATGTCTTTGAATGTATTTTCAAATGAAGTAGCCAAAATCTCTTTGAAAATGGCTACTGGAAGTGATATTTGAATACTAAACTACGAAAAAATGAGGATGGAACTTTTTTTCCGGATTGGTCTCTGCAATACCAACTTTTTATTTTATCAAAAATACAATAAAATTAGCAATGCGGCTACCTCACAATGGATGCGCGCGGGCCTGAGAACCAGAATTTCAATTTTAGGTAGCCTTACTGTAATCCAAACAAACTTCAAGATGGTAAAATAATTACATAATAGACACAAATACTTCAAGACTATAAAGATTGAATTTCTTAATCTTAGCTTTACTTTTACAATCTTCAGTCCAATTTTATCCGAACAACCGATGATATTGACCATTATTATATACTGTTATTCATCCATTTCCTCTATTTGTTTACCGCGCCCTATCGTAACTCGATCGTACTTGTAACATTAGAGTCATGGTTTAAATGCAATCACTATACTGTAGAACAATGCTCTGACAATGGCAATAAGAAAGAATAATATATAAATTTATGTAACCCTTCACATGTCTTCGATTGACTGAAAAGAAATTATAAAATAGTTTGATATTGAGCGTGAACATTTCTGACGATGTCTGGTCAATTCAAACCCTGCTTCATTCGGACCAGGACATAAGGCCCTCAACTGTATTTGTGTTAAAACTACTTTTTATTTTATTATTATGTTACTAGAGTCACTATCTTGACCTATCTTCAGATCTTTTGAAATTGTTTTTCTTGTTCGACGCTATTGAACCCTTTCAGGCTTTTGATTTTATTAACTGTAAGCTTCTCAAAACTTTAACAAAAAAACAGAATATTTTTAATGTATGATAAAAATTTTAAATGGAAATAAAATTTTATAAATTTTGACAGGATCCAAACAAGTGACAGCAGCCACGGCCTTCCTGTTAGCTTTGTTCTCCCACATTCTTAACCATATCGTGATACGTCTCCACAATGCTCTGTACGAGAAGGAAAACCCCAACAAACTGCTTCATCACGAGGCCACAGGTAAAATCTGTAGGAAGACACTTAAAGCTGAACACTACTCGTAAAAGGCATAATCCGCCATATTTCATTTCCTGTTCATTGAAGCTATCCCCTAAAACCCCTATATAAGGAGCAGATCTCTTAACCATTGAATGTATTTCGGTTTAGAGGTCAGAGGAGTGTAGACGTACATCTCAAACTGCCGTGCTACTCGGTCGCGATGAAATTATCAAATTTTATGCTTTTTTTCCAAAACAGGAGAAAAGTATCATAAAAATATAAGTCAATACATTATTTACAAACAGAAAATGCATATAAAAACAAGGAATAAACGCAAAAAATCTAAGACCACAAAAGGAATACTGGTACTACATGTCGGCCATGAGTTTCAAGTGTGTAATCGGGTGTAGCGAAATCGAAGGGTTTATATACCCGTCTGATGGTGCCTATTTATGAGAAGTGTTCAGCTTTAATTGGATTGATTTTAAGTTTTCTTAAGACTTGGTATTTGATATGTTTCTGTGTAAAGCATTTATTTGAATCTGTACTTAAAATATGATGTCATATAGGGTGATTTGCTTTAATTTGATAAAAGATGATGTTGTTTCATTTAAATAGGTGAGGGTGACTTGTCAGATATTGAGAATGAGAAGACTACCAATGGACCAAATGTTGACCCCTCTCAACATCACACCATACACCGCCAGGTGAAAGAGGGTGATCAAGACAGCAAAGGCAGGGAGGAAAACAAGGGAGGTAACATCAAGGTCAGTCAGATACCTGGAGCACTACTGACAGTATTTGTTACTATTAATTATGTGTGAAATTGTGTCCATTTCTTTTCTGTCAGACTCTTACAAAAACTTTTACTTTTGTGATAACTTGAATGAGAAAAATGTTGTCATTTTTCACATGTACATTACCTGTTACAAGCCCTATCAGAATATTTTAAGATTTTTGACTTAGTGACCTTGAAGAAGTTTCAAAAGTTGTAATTTAAAACTGTCACAAGGACTCTCTGAATCTACTGTGATTTTTTATCTTGAAGTTTGATCAACTTTTCAAAAATATTTAGTTTGCCTATTGCAGAGGAACATATCTTTAAACTATAAAGCATCTTTTGGCATGTTGGATGGCCAAATCAGAACAGACAAGATGGTTATAATATGCATTAATCATTGACCCCAACAACTAAAACCCTGAAAGTGGTAGACAGATTTTCTCTGAACTCACTGGTTTTGACATTTATATTGTACAATATGTATATTATTGTAGAAAAGCAGCAAATTAAAAAATGTGAAGAGGAGACGCCAGAGGCGAAGAGGAGGGGGAAGTGACAGTTCCGATATGTCTGACGTATCGGACCTCAGTGAAGGTAGGAAGTCAGCTTAAACATTTGATGACCTGGTATATGACCAGAAGTACAGGTTTATTGGTAAAGTCTCCATCCTCTGTCTACCTCTGTGTCTCTGAACAATAGGAACATTCATACCCTGAAAAAGAACAAAACTTTAGATTTCAAATAATTCAGAAAAAAACTTAAACATAAACATATTCAAAAATATGAAAACTAGGAAATAAGAAAAAATTACCATGAAAATTGAACACTAAATTTGCTATCTATATATTATACAATTTATTACCCCTTTTGAGGTCAACATGGTGAAATAAGGACCCGAGACCTGGCCCACTTGATGACCTGCCCTGACCTCGGCCGCTACGCGGCCTCGGTCAGGTCAGGTCACCTCGTGGGCCAGTTCTCGGGTCCTTATTTCACCATGTTGACCTCAAAAGGGGTAATCAATTGTTTTATTATACCGATATATATTGAAAAGTATGAATCTCTAACCGTCAGACTTGGGGTCAATTACTTTGAAATGTAATTAATTACTTTCAAATACATTGATAATTTTGTCAATTACTTGCAATTACAAATACATTGATTTTTTCAAATGTAATTAATTACTTTCAATTACTTTGACATATGTAATTAAATACATTTCAATTACTTCGAGTTTTATTTTTATAAAAAAAAATAAAGATTTTTTTAAATAAGATTTTTTTATAGCAATCGTGATTTTCATTAAAATTATATTTTGGGTATGATAGCGACATACATTTAGACCTTTGCCTTGTAATGAGTGTGACACACTGTATAAACAAATTAAACATTATGAGACAATTAATTGTTGAACAAACACAAGCCCATGCTACACCAGTATGGTGTATGGCAAGATCTTTTTTGTTACTTTCTCAAATCCATATTTTTGAAGGAAATAAATAATATCTATCACAATTCCATTCATTATTTTCTATCTTAAAATGAATAGAATACAGCTAAATCAAAAAGGGGATGTAGTGTGTCTAATTGCTGTAAAACAAATAAACTACCGTATAATCCCTATTTACCGCCCCTGCCCCTATAAGCGCCCCCTTAGGTCTTTTTTTAATTTTCAAAAACGTTGTTTGAAATCATCTACAATCATATCAAAAATCTAAATTTATGCATTTAATTCAATCCAATTTCTAAAGGAAAATTTCATTTAGCTTAATTTTGATGGATTATCTTCAATTAAAAGTTTTTCAAAGATTTTTTTAAGCTAAAATATGACATTAAATATTAAAAATAGAATGCTAAAATAATCGCCCCCCTTTTGCAATTTTCTAAGCGCCCGGGGCGGTAAATAGGGATTATACAGTATCTAAACAACCATTGTTATTAACAAGGGGGTATAGGGAGAACTAAGATTTAAAAAACATGGGAATAAGTAATATAAACCCACCAGTATAAAATATCAGTATAAGACACCTTTTTAAATATAAACTTTCATTTTGAAAAAAAGTAATTGAAATGTAATTGAAAAGTAATTGAAAATACATGACCTTTTTTGAAATGTATTTAAATACATTCAATTACTTGTAATAAAGGATTACAAATTACTTCCAATTACTTTGAAAAATATAATTAATTACACTAAATTACAATTACTTTATTCAATTACCCCATCCCTGCTAACCGTTATCAATTCTTTCTTTGATCGGGATTGGGATTCGCTACACTCGTATAGTGAAGTTGTTTACATAGACGTCTGCAAGTCGTGTAACGTTAACTGTAAGTTTTTGCATCATGATTTACTGATTAAAATTATATTTGGTTGATAGCGACATACATTGTTATAACTAACGATTACTTTTTCTCTACCCAGTCAAAATCTAACACAGAATTCAACTCTTTACAGAGCCGCTTCTACATTCCAGAACTGAATTGAAACTACATTTTGAAATGAGTAAACCGTTTAAGTTAACGATAAAATTTTGCCATATTCTGTATGGTAATGTAAAACAGACCATACACAATTTAAAAACATGTTGTTTTCTCGAATAATTATTATTTTATGCATTTAATTCACGCAAAAAGGAATTTTTGATTAAGAGATCATTATTTAGCGGTCATTAATTACAATGACTGGGTCATTATGTCCCACGTGCAATGATTACTAGGTCCTTATTGCTGTAAACAGTACCATTTGGAGTCATTATTGTGTTTTAAAGTTTTCTTACCAGCCAATCAAATTCGAGAATTATCAATAGAGGTACAGTAAAATTTGTCCAATCCGGACTCTGATTACTCCTTTCCGTGTATAAATTTTAGTCCCATGCACTTCTTTAACAAATTCATTAGAATAAATTCAGTGTAGTCTGGATACTGTCTATTCTGTATTCCGAACGGCCATACTGGTCCCAACTGCTCATAATTAACGGTAATCATTCCCTCTAATCCGGCCACACATAATTACCTGAGTTACTTCAAAGCAATTAACACCTTTCGTGGTGGATGTGATAATCCGTGTTTACACTAGCATTAGTGCCATGAGACGAAATCAGTGAAATGCGGCGGTGACACAGACCGCTTGAAAAAATATTATAGGATTAAATTACAATTTAAAAAAATTAACTTTGTTTTAACTCCTTTTACCACATTATAACATAAACATAAAAATATATATGTACGCGATTTACAAATCAAAATAATAATCGGGATCGAAAATCGAACGCATTTCAAAATGGCGCCATAACACTGTGGGGGAAGACGTAATTTTTTTTTACATAAAAATTAAAAGTTCAATCCAATAATTAGCACATCGTAAATAATTGTGCATTACTGTCTATACATTGAATGAACTCTCTGACAAGCGAAATCCGGTCCGCTTGATATATAGTAGGCCTATATCATGCGTGCCTGTAGATTTTGATTTCGGTAACATTTCACCCGACTTTCAAACTTCGTGAACAAACAAGAAAATACAGTAAGTCATGTGAGACTATTCAATAATTTCTAGATGATCAATATGTTGATTGATTTCATCATTTAATTATATTTTATATGTGTTTGAAGTACTTGTAAATAAACAACAGTTACTAAATTTTCAAAAGTAATATTTTCCTGCATTTTTCCTGCACTCCGGTGCAAATTTTATGGAACCGGCAGTAGCCGGTTTGGACAAATTATACTGTATAATAAATATTATTAAAGGATTAGAGCTAGGTAGAATTTTATAGAGACATTATGCTTTTGATATTTTTGGAATTCAAAATTCTTGTATTTTGATAACTTCTATATTTCTATACAGACTCTCTTATTGCAAAGTTTTTGCAGCATAATGAATTGCATCTTTTCTTTTAAGGTGGTGAAGATCTTTCTGACCAGTTTCTATCAGATGAGTCTGAGGAGGAGTTTGTCGGATTTTTCACCAACGACTCCGACTCGGAAATATCCGATGATCTCATGGAGAGTCAGGAACTAGAGCCAGGATTTGCCTCCAAATCACCGTCCAGTAGTGCTAAACCAACCCCCGACTCCAGCGCCACAAATGTAAACTCAAACAGCCTGGATCTGGTGAGCTCACAGAAAAACATTTGGTCGGCAGATTCTGACTCACTGGCTCATTTGTCCTCCGAGCTGCTGTCATCGTCAATGACTTTACTGGGACAGAACTACAGACTGGAGGCTCAGAACAGTCGTACTGAGAAGGATGAGGCAGAGCTGGCAAACTGTGAGGAGGTGGTACAAGGGAGAAAAGAGGTCCCGGTACCTCCAGGTAGGTGTCTAATTGGTGTTGTAGGTGTAAGATAGAGGAAGAAGGTTATGATGCCTCTAGGTATGAGGTCTAACTGGTGTTGTGAGGAGATGGAATAGGGGAGAAAGGGGATCCCAATACCTTCAGGTGGGTGTTGTACTGGTGTTGTAGGTGCAAGATAGGGCAATTAGGTCCTGAAACCTTCAGTTAGATATCTAGCTGTAACTGGTGTTGTGAGTAGGTGCAAGATAGAGATAGGAGGTTCTTTAACCTTTAGGTAGGTGTCTAACTAGGGTTGTAGGTGCAAGAGAAAGGTGCCCTCTGTACCGCTAGGTAGGTGCTGTACTGGTGTTGTAAGTTTACAGAATTGTTTCCACATAAAAATTGGTATGATCCATATCTTATAATTTATGTCAGTTATGATTTAGTGTAACATCAGAAAATCTGTTTTCCAGGTTTTGCTGCATCTTCTGAGGCCAAACATGTGGCAGAAATCACCAACAAACTGGCCAACTTTGTGATAGAGACGGACACAGAAGTCAGTGCTGGTCCCACAGATACAGGTATAGACACATGTACCGATAATGTGTTCTGGTACAGTGTACCACAGATACAGGTATAGACACATGCACCGATAATGTGTTCTGGTACAGTGTACCACAGATACAGGTATAGGCACATGCACCGATTTTTTGACCAATTCATTGTTTATGACACATGCATTGTTTGTGTTCTGAAAGGTTCACACACAGGTATATGCACCGTATAATGTATTTTTGTAACAGCAAACTTTACAAGGTTTAAAGAGAGGCATCTTTATTATATACCCATCATTTTCCTTGTTTTTGTTAATAATTTGTTAATTTTAATTAATGACCGCTTTTCCAGATCACCACACTGTGGTTTTCGAAGCCACCACTTCTTTATTAACTGAAACAAAATTATTAAAAACAGTTTTTCTTGCGCGTTAAAATTATTGTTATTTAATTCTTTATTATATGTTTAATACAATTGATCTTGCTATATTTAGCTATTATAAGCTATATAATAAATTTATCATTATAACAGGGATAGCGTCAACCAATTAGCCGCGCTTCACTGACCACATGCACCTGTCAGTGTGGCGGTATATCGAGATAATTGACACTTAAAAATGGACGTTTGTTTTGAAAACAAGGTGGCGAATGGCGGTATGCGAATTTGGCGTTATAAAGAATATATATTTATATAGCAGGAAAAACGTAAAATAGCTATGTAATGGAGTAATGAATTCACATAGAGGGGAAAATCTGTAAATTATGAAAATAAATTTAACTTTTTGAGGTCTGTTATAGTCACATTTTACTGTAGAGTTTTCCTCTGGTGTTGACAAATTAAAAATAGCATGAATTTTTCCAAAATACTTAATATATAACTTGAGTTATCTTTATTGTATTATATAATCTGTTGTTGTAGAAATGTCAGGTTGTGATGACTCTAATACGGAGGCAGAAGATCAGGGCAGTTTATCAGACTCCACAGACAAGTAAGTTACTGCTGATGTCTCAGGGAGACCTTTTCAGACCTTATAGCTGATACCTTTGTTCCGAGTCTAACTTTGTATGTCATTGCCACCACCAGCGAAGTTGAGGGGAATGCAGAGTAAGACTTGTCCCTCCTCTATGTTTGTTTTTGGTTTCCATGCTTTGCATTGGGAAAGATTTGGTTTGGATGTTCATATTTCATCATTTATGTTCTATGATGCCACTAGCAGTCCCCCTAGGATTTGTATTCATAGTAGAAATTGTCCAGTCTGGCTCAGAAATGGTGCAATATCCAGGTCAATTACCGTATGTCTATAAAGCCAAATTCAGTGGAATGAATGAAAAAATATAACATGTGACTCATATGCCTCTTACTTGAAAATATTAATTGTACATGTGATGTAATAGACTAATAGTTATAAAACTTGGATGTCAACCAGTAAACTTTTTAAACATTGGGATACAGTGAAACTCTGTTATAATGAATTACAAAGAAATCAAATTCTGCTTTCTTGTAACTGGCATTAAATCTGTATGAAGTACATTGTAAAAGACTCCTTGGGAATTCATGAAGGATTCCCTTTACATGAGGTGTTTCCTTATCAGTGAGTTCTTTATAACAGAGTTATACTGTTTTTTGTACCTAAAAGGACTGGTAGTCCCTCTTGTTCTTTTCCTGAGATGATTTTTGTGTTATTGATATACATGTATTTAATTCAGCTAAATCTTTGAATATTTTCAGGGCTGAGTTAGAACACAAACATCTGGAGAATTTGATTGACGTCCTCCAAACAGAGGGCCTCCTTCCTGTCGTCAAAGTGGTCTGTGATTGGATGAAGTGCAATAAAGATGTTATCCTCACCTGTGCTCAGGTATCACATGCAATATGTAGCAGGTGTTTGTTGTTTAAAAGACTCTCTCTGATGAGACATTTAGATTGAATAAGGTAATGAATTAGAGTCTAGGATAAAATGTTTTTGAAATAATATGATCTAATTATTTTCAGAGCTCTCAGTCTCTATGGCATAGACTGTCAGTGTTGTTAAACATTCTACCTAAAGAATCTGTCATTGCAGGACACGGTAAGTTCTGGCACCATTTTATCTCAGCTGTCATCTCAGTAATGATTTGTTTTTTCTTTAAAAATTCAAATAATTTGAATTCCAGATGTGGCTTCTCCGAGAAGACAAATTTGAAAAAAAATTACTAGTACAATTAATGATTTTCTGTCTATTGTAGACCAGTGCTGGGTTGACCAGCTGAAGACGGTGCTGAACACCACTGGTCAGCCACACTGGAGGCAGGTTTTCCCCCTGACAGAAGATATCTGTCTGTGGCAGTTCCCCCCACTTACTGAGGCCCATATGGGGGTAGAGTTCACAACAAAGAGGAGGGGCCAACTCACTGAAGTACAAGAGGTAGGAGTCAACATTTTTATTAAAGAAATATATGGGGACTATAAAAAAATTGTAGAAATTGAAGAGAAATTTTGAACATGGAATTTTTTTTTCCTTTGTATATCATTGAAGGCAGATATATCTCTAACAAAGAACTTTATTCGGTAATAACCAATATTTGCCCCCCAAATCAAACTTTGACAGAGAAATATTTAATTATGTTCTTAAACATGGGGATATATGTTGACTTCAAAGCACTGAATATTTTCATAAACATTGACATCATATATTTGAAATGACGTCACAAAAATGACGTAAATTTAATATTTCCATGATTTCTACAGAAAAAAGTATATATTACGTTGGTATTTTGAGTAAAAGTCACCGAGCTCAGGTCTGATCAGGCTCAATATTTTGATATAATGTATAGAATGATAATATCAATGAAATATGTAAATATTGTTCCTGAGCAAACTTGCGCTCTATAAATTTTAAAGCTAAATTTGTTGAAATTTTGTCCATCTTTCTAAAAAATTTAAAAAAAAAATCGGACTAGTTTGTGACGTCATAAAAACAAAAATTGTCAATAAACTACTTTGAAACTATAATATATGTTTTGTTAATTTATAATTATCATACAATTTATAGAATTCAGCACATTTTAAGAATTTTTCAAAATTTGACTTTCGTGGGGGCAAAGATATACAATATATCGCATATAGTTCTTTGCTTGGTGTTTTTAGTAAAAAGTGTGTAATGGTAAAAAAATCAAAAATTAATTTTTGGAAAATGAAGTGAAATATGGAACGCCATGGAAAAGTTCTCTGATAAAGAAAGACAACTCTACCAAATATACTTGGTTTGTTGACATAAAGGTCTGTAAGAGTTATTGCTCTTGTAGTGTTTCTTGAGGACGGGAAGCTTGAGGCACTTTGGGTACTACCTATCTTCTTTGGAGAATTTGACCTTCACTTATGATGAAGAACAGAGTTTATTTATTGGTCCATCTCATACAGGAAACACAGAGGAAAATGAAAAAGAGGCTATGGAGCGAGAGGTAGGCTTTCTGTGTATTCTGATGTTTTTGTGCATTCATTAATACAATCCCCTTGAAATGTTCATTTCAATTTTTGTGATTTGGATTGCCAAAGAACTTCCTCATGCTGGTCATTTGGGGAAATGATTGAAGCATTTAAAATTTATTGTAGATGCATTAAGCAATGTGTTCTCTCTTTCATTACAAAATTACTGGTTGAATTGCTTTGTGATCTTTTGAGATGACCCAAAGCAATTTTAAGTTCTAAGTTTAATTTGCTTACTCCCACATTGAATTTTTCTTTAGTTTTGCTGATCTGAATTTCTATTGGCTACATTATCAGCAATCACACGAATGCTGTAATTTCTATGTGTTTATTATGCTAATTTATTGATGATATCATCACCTAAAATTGCTTTTAAAGAAATGTTATTGATGATGATACATGTAGTTTACATTCCATCATGAAAAAGTATCCTCACGATTACTTATTTTTATAAAACAAATCGAACATTGATATAATATGTTAATATGTAGACAACTTATGATTAAATATTTGCATTTGACACAGCACGTATTTAATGTGTGACTCAGAAGCATCACATGCATTTCTGCTAATTCATTCTCGGTCAAGTGGAGAGCATGGGGCATACGATAGTGTTTGAGTTGCTGTGATATTTATACCTAACGGGGGTTTATTTCTGGGGGACGTTATCGGGTCCAGGTTTACTGAGAGGGCGAGAGCTCCGATTGTTTGTAACACGGTGTTGCTGTCACAGGAATGCTGTATTTGTTGGTTGACAGTGTCAATATTAGTCGTCAACAGGGCAGGAATCAAAGTACATTCACTTCAGCAGGGAGATAGCAAGATTGTCCCCAAGTGTTTCCTACACAGGTGTGGGGAATGACAAGGAAATCACGGCAGAGGGGGTCAAATTCTCAGATGTTTCCAAATTCAACTTCAAGGATATTTCAGATTTTTGGAGACATGCTAGGAACATTAAACCAAACAATTGATTATATATATATACATTCTGCATCCTCGTTATATGAGATCAGGATCAACTTAAAGTTTAGGTTGTGTTTGGTTTTTCTAGTTTGTTTGCTAAAATTTTGCCAAAAATGTTTTCATCTCTACAATGTAGGTTGACCACAAACCAAAGACTGCCCAGTGTTGACCGTATAATTGAGGAAAAATAGATTGGGAAAATGAGTTTATTGACCACAAGTGTACTAAAAATACATTTCCTGAACTTGGCAGACATTATCAATGTCAGTTGCAGAACAGGTATAAATGCATTACAGGTTTTAGCGAGAGACTTGTGGAAAACAAAAGGTAGGGGGCCACCACAGAGAGTGATATTGGACAGGTGATCCGATGTCCCTTTGTCCGGGCCTGATTAGATTATTTACCTTGTAACCTCCCCGACAACAGGATCATCAATAATGGAGTACCTACAATGATAGTATTTACCTGTCCAATCTCCACTATTGGAAGTGTTGTTCAATTTCCGATACAGGCCAAGTGCTAATTTTAAGTCGTTATCAGTCTGTTGTCGACAGATGACTCACTGGTAACCCTTATCATGGTCTCCTATCTATGGAATTCAATCAGCAACACACAAAATGTCACGTGCCTACATTGTCATATTTGTATACTTTGCAGATTTCTTTTTTAGGTCTTTATATAGCTTTGCTAAGAAGTTGGAAGCCATCCTAAACACCTGTACAATTTACAGTGTTATACTAAGTTATACCTGCCCTATCTGTCTGCCTGAGTTGTTTGTGTGTTTGTCTGCATTGGTGCTGTTAATCTTGTTGTTGGGTAGAGATCAAAAGACATTTCAAAAGAGGAATCCAAGAAATGCTAGATAAAATGGCCGTTGTTTTATCAGGCCGGGGGATAGGACCAATATTACTCTCAGAGCTCATTTCATACATGTACAACATACTTTGTACTTCGTCTTTAAGTTCTCAGTAAAGACTGCTTTTTCTGAGATGTTACAGGGTTTTTTTCCCACAATGATTGTCTCCTATTTCGACAAATATTCACTGAAGGGGTGAAAAAGATAATACTAATAATCCTTATATCAATTTGGCTTTTAAAATGAATTCTTCTGGACTTAAAGATGGAATTTTTTAATAAAAGTGTTGGACTTTCTACAGATATCTAATAAATTATTTTCTAAACATGTAACTGTGATTAAATTCCAATTATCTGTTTTATGATTATGTATCATCTAAGCATTACAAAAATGTCACCCTATAAGAAGACATTGGTAGAAGGCTGTAAATATTTACTTTCAGCTTGAAAGCAGCTCAAAGCTGGGGGTAGTGCTGTGATAAGCTTCAGTAGTGGTTAGTGGATAGGGCTATCATTTCCTCTTATTTTCAGCAAGGCCTATTTACCTAGCTCTTGGCAGGGATTATCTTTATCTAAATCCCTATAATATCCATCTTTTCAACAAGTTCTGTAGTCAATAAAACAAGGGTCATATTGCCACATACTCCAATCTCTGTGTTACACAAACTTTACTTTGAGTGGGGTGTGAAGTTAAAACCCAGTAAAATATGGAACATTGGTGAGTGACACAACTCTTTACTTGCCATCAGTGCTGTGTACTTAGGTCTCGAGTCCTTCATCCAGGCCATTGCCAGAGTTTTTGTGCAAATATCTATTGAACAATGCTAAATATTTAATCTGATTATATAAATACTCCTTAGCACCAGTTGTGCCATAAATAGAGAGACCTATACTTGTAAGGACACGTCCTCTGGTGTGAATAGCCAGAGTGACAAAATAAGGTGTGGCCTACAGAGGGGGGTGGGGTGTCCTGTTTGATTGTCAGGGGGTGTAGCAGACGAGGCTTTCTTTTGTGATCTCGGACCAGGTGACATGAAACAAGGACTCTTTACTGTCAACCTTGCCTTTCGGTGTAATTTAAAATGAGATTTTGATAAGATAAGGCACAATTTGTCACTAACAAATTCAAGTTAGGCACA